TCACACGCCTCCTTCTGGCGACATAAAAGAGGGCCTTCCTCCTTAAGCCACAGATGGGCGGGGCGGAGACCATGGTGACTTACAAGAAACACACTGAAAAGTGGAGTCTGGCCAAGAGAAAAGGAGCGGGCAGGGATGACCTATGGAAGGTATAATTTAAGGTTCTCACTTGCTTTCGTCTCTACGCTTCCCTGCATTGTTCACCTTTTTACAGAGACTCTTTCCTTTTCCCCGCCTACTTGGGAGGATGCCAGAGAGGCATTTTCTACACCCCATCTCAACCAGTACAGCTGGGTCTGGTGATGCACACCTGTCACTCCCACCTTATGGGAAGTGTGAACAGTCAGACTGCAGGGGAGACGAGTGTAGGCATAAAGGTTAGACCCTTTTCAAAAATAAAGAAAATTAAAAGGGCTGGAGGCATGTTTCAGGTGATTGAGCAGGCACAAAGCCCTAAGTTCAACCCCCACTACCACTAAAATTAAAGAGTTTTTTGCCACTGAGTTGTACAATGGCTGGGCACTGGTGGCTCACACCTGTCATCCTGGCTACTCAGGAGACTGAGATCTAAGGATCAAGTTCAAAGCCAGCCCAGGCAGGAAAGTCCATGAGACTCTTATCTCCAATTAATCACCAGAAAACAGGAACTGGAGCTGTGGTTCAAGTGGTAGAGCACCAGCCTTAGACAATAAAGTTGAGGAATAGCTCCCAGGCCCTGAGTTCAAACCTCAACAACCAACAAAATAAAGCCAGAAGTGGAACTGTGGTTCAAGTAGAAGAGCGCCAGCCTTGAACGAAAAAAAAAAGCAGGAATGAGAGGCTTCAATTCAAGCCTCAGTACTGACATACACATTAGAAATAATAATAATAATAAAAGTTGGGGAGTAGGGAAGGCTACCTCTTTGCTAAGGTATCAGTTTTCAACCAACTTAAGTGGCTTGGGGAAACTTAGTTACACGGTTTCCTATTCGGAAAGTTCCAAACCTGTCCAACCAGGTATCTTAACACCAGGATTCACCCAAACCAGTTCCTTCATCTGACTATGCGAATGTCTTATGATGGAGATGGACATGGAAATGTCGCTAAAAACATGATCCTGTCCCTCCACACTGCCTCACACTCACTTGATTTACAGGAAGAAACACTTCCCAAACCCTTCAAAGCTCAGTTGGTAGAGGGGATGGGAACCAGCCTGGCCCATTAGTCTCCCTTCCTACTCTCCGGCTCCTCCCTCCCCTGCCTTCTTCCCACCCTCCCAGTTTGCTAGCCAGACCCAGGCCCATGCCCAGGCACCAGAAGCACTGCCATCTCAGCCATCTTCCTTCTACGTGAACCTTGAGATGACCAAGGCCAGGTGAGCGCCAGTGCCAGGGGAAGGTGCCAAGGGATGGGAGCAGTAGATGTACACATTTACCTGCAAGGGACAGAGTCCTCAGTCCTACCCTGCTAGCTTCCTCTGGGGTTCCAGCAAGGTCCTTCGACTGGCATATTCGGGGGACAGGGTGATAGGTTATCAAGATTTTAGCAATTGAAGCTGCACATCACAAAGGGACTTCCATCCCAAATGAATCACAGGTAAAGAACGTATATAAAGCATTCTCTTAGCATCTTCTCCAGTCTGAACCAAAAGTTTCATAAAGAAAAGGCTGAACTGGGGTTTGGTAGCTCATGCCTGTAATCCTAGCTATTTAAGAGGCTGATATCTAAGGATTGTGGCATGAAGCCAGCCCTGGTAGGTAAGTCCATGAAACTCTTTATCTCCAATTAACCACTTTAAAAAAAAAAAAAAAAAGCCAAAAGTAGAGCTGTGATTCAAGTGGTACAGCGCTAGCTAATCTTGAGCAAAAAAAGCTAATGGACAGCATCCAGGCCTGAGTTCAAGCCCCAGTACCAGCAAAAATAAATAAATAATAAATAAATAAATAAAGATAAGCCAAAGTATTTCAGAGATGAACACAGGAACATTGCTAAGAGAAAAGAACTTGTGGTCTTAACTTTGAAATGAAACGGCAGAAAGGCGGTTTTAGGAAGGAGGTAGAGAGGTTCAACCAGACAAACTAGAAGAATAGGGAATAATCTGGAAACAAACGTTTCACATCCCTTTACCAGCAGTCCCTAAAATTCTATAATGCATGACCTACCACCAAACAACTTGGAGAAGGAAATGGATTGGTTAGGGATTTACTCGGAAATTCAGAGATTCAGACAGAATTCAGGTTTCATGAAATTCCAAGGACCTGGTTGGCCCTTCTTTTATTGTATTTTTGATACATTGGATTTTTTTCCCAGTCAGAAATAATTGGGCCCCTATAGATTTCTTTGGACACTGGATTGTGTGCAATGTCATTTATTTTACAATATTAATCTTAAAAAAAGAATGAAATTCTCACAACTCCATCGGCCTCCAGCCACATACCATAATAGTCCACACACATACACACTCTCTCTCTCCCCCATCTCTCCCTCTCCGTGTCTCTCTCTCTCTCTCTCTCTCACACACACACACACACACACACACACACACACACACAGGAAAATGCATGCAGATCTAGGCCGGCAAGTTTACCTCTGTGCTGCTTGGAAAACCTTTCTCCAATTTCCAGTTGCCACAGCTGTCTTTTCCAGATGTTGGAGCACGGATGACTTTTCAAAGCCTCCCTCTCTGCTATTCCCAGAGGCCCGGTCTCATCCTCCCCTTGCTCCTCTGTTTTCCAAACTGCTCTAAGAAACCACTCAGCATCTGGGAAGTGAGTGTCACTGGCCCGCCCCCTCTCAGCAGCCCTCACCTGACACCTTCACCCTTTTTAAAGGGGAAATGACATCCCTTCTTGACTGTAAGCAGCTTCCAAACCTTGGAAGAAATGAGCATGCTATGCTGGGGATGGAGGGGCTGGAGGGTGTTTGGAAGAGGGAAGTTGTCTTGGCTGAAGCATGGATGGTTAGGAAGCCATCTAAGTGTGGAAGATCCTGTGGGGGTCCTTGAGCCCGGCAGCCATAAGCTAAGGACCTTAGAACTCCTGACAGCATACTTAGCACCGCCAGTTACATCCCATCTGATCTTCCCACTAAGCCATTAGGAGCTGAGCATCTACCTCCATCTTGCCCAGGGCTCAGTCCCAAAGACATTGACCCCATTCGGCAGAAAGGGGAACAACTCCATTTCTTGCCCCATGGTGGCCTGTGACAAGGCCTCAGAGTTGAAACTCAAATATGTACATCTTTGTGTGTGCACGTACACACACACACACACACACACACACACACACACACACACACACACACACACACACACGCACGTGCACCAGTACTGGAGTTTGAACTCAGAAGGCCTTGTGCCCTTGCTTTACTTTTCTTAGCCAAGGCTGGTGTTCTACCCCTTGAGCTACAGCACCACATCTCACTTTTGCTAGTTAATTGGACTTTCCAGGCTGGTTTCCAGCTTTGATCCTCAGAGCTCAGCCTCCTATTTAGCTAGGCGTACAGGCACAAGCCAAGGGCTCCTGGCTCAGTGTATGTCTTCATACGCCAACTCTCATTCTTTTGCTCACCTTCACCAGGTTGACTGCGTTAATGCCATGCCTAAAACTGGCTGGGACAAGACGCAGCATTGGCATCTGGGGCTGTGGAGACTGTCAGGTCTAACATTTACTTTACCTTATTGAGCACCAATCTTAGCACTGTACTCCTAGCTACTCAGGAAGGCTGATCTGAGAGTCAAGGTCTGAAGCCAGCATGGGTAGAAAAGTCCATGAGACTTACCTCTTACCTCCAATTAACCAGCAAAAAGCTGGATGTGGAGGTGTGGCTCAACTGTTAGAGCACCAGCCTGGAGCAAAAAAAGCCAAGGAAGAGCATTAGCCCTGAGTTTAAGCCTCAGAATCAGCACACGAAAGAAAGAAAGAAAGAAGGAAAGAAAGAAAGAGAGAGAGAGAGGAAGGAAGGAAGGAAGGAAGGAAGGAAGGAAGGAAGGAAGGAAGGAAGGAAGGAAGGAAGGAGAAAAAGAAAAGAAAACTAGGACAGTGGGTAAAAGGGGGTTGAAAATTAGCGCCCCATCCAAAAGATGATCTGGAATGTGATTTGTCTTTGAGGAACTTTCATAACTTATTGATAATGGATATATTTTTTATTGTGAAAATACTGTACAGAGGGGTTACAATTACATGGGCAAGGTAATGAGTACATTTCTTATCAAGCATTGTTGCCTCCTCCTTTGTTTCCCCTTCCCATCCCTTCCCATCTCCCTCTCCTCCTCCCTTCCCACCCCCCAATGGAAATGTTAAATGTGAAAAGATTTCTGTAAACTATAGAGCACCACAAAAACATTTACCTTTCATGCCAGCCGTGTGGTTGCTAGCGATCTTGTAATTCACATGCATTAAGGTCATTCAGACAATGCAGTTTGGCTCCTGGGAGTTTGCCAGTCCAGGTAAGCCTGAGAAATTACTTCTGGACCCATGGGCTCAGAAGGTAATGGGCTGGACTAGGAGGTAGACGCCTCCTCGCTCCACTGTTTACCAGAAGCAGCCCCAGCCCACACACTCCTTCTGTGGACACACTCCTTCTGTGGTTTCTCCGGTATCATGGGCATTGACAGGGAACAATGCCGGAGACTGCATGATGTCACTCTGCATGTCACCTGATTTAGCAATACACAGGGGAGCCACACCAGGGGAGGCCCTGCCTCCAGCCAGGAACCCTACCTGTTCTTCTTCCTCTGGACTGAAAAATGCATGAGAAAGTTCCTAGTGCTAAGCCTCAGACAAGGGAAAGAGGTAGTGGGGGGGCCGGGGGTGATGGAAGAAAATAAACACGATCCTTCTTTCTTTCAGATGTGTTTGTGTAACGCCATTGTTCCTCGCTGACTGCTAATCATCGGTATTAAATGCTATGGAATGATTTTGAATAAAAGGCATCTTCAAGAAAGAGTGCATGACCTAAATGTTTGTGTTCTTGATGAGGCCACTGGAAATGGTGCAAGAAGATATCACGTAACAGCCTGCTCATTTTTCCAATCATTTTATTATTTGAGAACGAAGTCAAAATGATTTGCCAAAAGTAGCAGCTCCTCTATGGCTGGGTTAAGTCATATCAAATCCCAAGACTTAGGACCAACAAATACATAGCCCCACACTTCAGGGAGCCAAGAATAATTCCTCCATGGGACAGCCTTGCCAGGCCTGACATCAGAGACAAGACTGAACTTCTTTTGCTGGCACCACGACGTACAGACATTTAAAGCCAGGCCTACTCCTCGGACGTCTCTTCCAGAATATGCTTAAAGGAGAAGGGAGAAAACTTGTACCCAGCCCCAGCATAGAACTTGTTCTGGAACTCCACCCTGTGGGTGGGGGAGAAAGGGTAGGAGGGGGAAAAATGGCAGAACACATTCATTAGAGGCTGGAAGGTAGAGGCAAGGAGAACACTCATAAAATCAAGGTCAAGTCAGGGGAAGGCAGCCTAGGCTAAATGGCTACCATAGGAATACTGATGGCTCTCTCTTCCCCACCCCCCCATCACTTCCTCCAGGCCCCAAGGACCACTGCACAGTGTCTCCCCGCATCCTGACCGTCCTCAGCCTCCATCGCAAGCAAGGACATCCTCTCTGCGCAACATTATCAGAAGACAGCAGTATGCAGAGAGGTTTGCTGTCACCATCCTGACTCTCGTTGCTTGGTCTACCCCCAGAGACCCTTGTCCTAGTCTCATCACTCCCACAAAGCAAGATCACCCGCGATCATTTGTGCTCTGTGACATTACAGCGTGCGTGTCTGTACGCCGTTAGTGACTTGGGGAAATGCTATCGTCAAGGAAGCCGGGGATGCTGCAATTCTCTCCCCTAGATACGTGCAAATGCTTGGCCTAGGAGCAGCAGCCAACATGTCAGTGAAGGACAGTAGGGAAGCGCACGAGCACATGCAGAACGCTCAGCCCAGAGAGGGCCGACTGGCTCTGGGCACACCCGTGGGGGTCAAAAGCTTCCATGAACTCTCCTCCCCTCCTTCTGCTTCCTCTTTAGAAGGAGGGAGGTAGCTAGCATTTATTATAGGTCAGCGGGTGCACGCACTGAGCATGTGTAAATGTGTATATGTGTACAACACAATGTTCTACAGATGTCGAAACTAAGATTCTGAAAAGGAACCTAAGTCGCTCCCATCCCGTGATGACAGGACGGACGGCCCCCGCCAGCCCCAGAGCCTGTCCTGGCCCTCTGCCGCCCCAAGCTTCCAGGGGCCAGGCAGGCTTACCAGTGGAGCCGCAGGGCGTGCAGGAAGGCGGACAGGCCCTCCATGACCAGCAGGATGGCCACTGTGAGAACAGCGAACACAGCAAAAATAACGAAGACGCCGATGATCCCTCCCCAGCCGCGCACGCGCAGGCCAATGTTCATCACCATGGTCCAGAGCACTTCAGACAGTTCTGCAGGAGGCAAGAGGAAGATGCTCAGCCCCAGGGCACACCTGGTTCCTGCGGATCCCTGCCATCCTGGCCAGCTTTAATCGGCAGCTCCACTCCGGCACCTGCGCTCACCATTGCCTCCAACAGCGCTGCTCACAGTGGCAGGGTTTGGGGAAGAGGGAGACAGACAAACACAGGGTGATATTCACCCAGAGGAGTAAGCAAACTGGAGCTATTGGCAACCAGATGGGTAAAACCAATTGACATGACTTGCAAAGAAGCATCCGGAGGCTTTGCTCGCTCCCTCTCTCTCCTCAGCTTGGGAGGACATATGGAGAAGGCAGCCATTTGCAAGCTAGGAAAAAGGCTCTCATCAGAACCCTCCAGGCCCGCCCCCTGGGCTGAGACTGCCAGCTCAGGCTCCATGGAACATACCTGTCTTTGTTAAGGTGTCCGGTCTATGGGACCTTATAATTCCAGCACAGACTCACTAAGACAAAATCCTATTTGTACAAATTCAAACTTGGGTAAGTTGGGCACCAGTGGCTCATGCCTGTAATTCTAGCTACCCAGGGGGCTGAGATCTGAAAACGGAGGTTCAAAGTTAGCCTAGACAGGAAAATCTGTGAGACTCTTATCTTCAATTAACTAACCTTGAGCAAAAAAAAGCTAAGAGATAGCACTCAGGCCCTGAGAGCAAGTCCCAGTAGTCACACACACACACACACACACACACACACACACACACACACACACACACACACACGAAAAATTCAAGCAATCACTGGTGGCTCACACCTGTAATCTTAGCTAGTCAGGAGGCTGAGATCTGTGGATCACGGTTCAAAGCCAGCCCAGGTAAGAAAGTCTGTGAGACTCTTATCTCCAACTAACCACCAGAAAACCAGAAGTGGTGCTGTGGCTCAAGTGGTAGAGCACTCACCTTGAGCTGAAGAGCTCAGGGACAACACTCAGGCCCAGAGTTCAAGCCCCACAACAGAAAGAAAAGAAAGAAAGAAAGAAAGGAAGGAAGGAAGAAAGAAAAAAGAAAGAGAGAAAGAAAGAAAGGAAGGAAGGAAAGAGAGAAAGAGAAAGAGAGAAAGAGAGAGAGAGGGAGGGAGGGAGGGAGAGAGGGAGGAAGGAAGGAACTCAAAAACCCATATAAAACTACACTAAATCACTTAAGGATACATATGTGCACAGTAAAACGATGTTAAAACAACCTTTCTTCTGGAAAACCTGCCACGAATAACTCAAGAGAAGGCACTTGGGCTACTAGTCCACCGCTCGGCCCCGCCAGGGAGGAGGTGACAAGCTGGTGCTCACTCACGCGCATGCGCCAAGCTCAGGGCCCAGAGCCGGAGGTAGGAGGCCGTGTTGGAAATGCAGCCCAGGCAGTACTCGATGGTGTGGATGGCCTGATGGACAAAGACGTCCCCAAAGTTGAACTGGAAGAGAGAATGTTCTAGTTCTGTTATTTTTGTCTTTTTGTCATGAGATCATTTAAAAATTGGTTTTCCTTTTTTTTCCCTAAGGAACATAGAACACATATTCATGGGGTAAAACCTAGTTTTCTTTTTTTAAGAACATGAGACACTTGTACATATTCACGGAGTACAGTGTGATACTTCTATACATATAGACAAAATGGACGCTGATCCAACCAGGATCCAACCTGGCCACACCAGCGAGTCCAACCACATGATCACACGGCTGGGACTGACCTCCAGGCATGGGGGAGCTGGGGGGAGCTGCCTGTTGCCAATCGTGTCCATATCATGGAACCCCAGGAATACCTGGGGCAGGGAGGTGCATACAGCACCCTTGGTGCTGGGACTATAACCTGTCTCTAAGGACACGGAGTTGCACCTATGAAACTCTTCCACCCCTAGATCTCACCCCGTGCATCTCTGCCTGGTTCTTAATTGTGTGCTTTTGCTATAACAAAAGGGTAGCACCTTCCTAAGGTCAGAAGTTGTTCCAGGAACCACTGATGAGGCTGAGGGTTTCCCCCGATTTGTGGACAGCTGGTCTGAAGGGATGGCGGCTCTGGAAACCCCCTCCCACTCAGACTTGCAGCTGATATGGGGGCAGATCTGTCAGCCTGGGGAACTATGCTCTTGACCTTGGATTGCCTAAGTTTGGATACAGAAGGAGAAGAAGAAGAAGAGGAAGAGGGGGAGGAAGAGGAAAGAGACAGGCATTTGGAAGGAGGCAGAGTCAAGCCTACGCTTGCGGGTGGATGGAGAGTAAAGTTGCTCAAACATGGAGAGCCAGTTGGCGTGAAGGTGCAGGTGGGGTCGGCCCGTGCATATCCAGGGCATGAGGACACACAAGGCAGTCATGCCAGACAGGCTAGAACTTGAGTCCAAAGGTAAGTGGGTTGGCTTCGAAAATGCCCCAGCAGGTGTGGCAGACAGAGCTGGCAGTATCAGTAGCCACCAGCAGGGAGTAGAGGGTTTATTCTCTGTACTTGGAATCTTGGGCAATTAATTAGGTTAATTTGATTTAACTATCTACTAGTTTAAATGAAAACAAAAATCTTGTTAATGAATCCCATGAACGGTGCCATTTGTAGCGTCTCTGCCGGCCACAGAAAGCAGATCTCTTATCGAACACCAGCAGGGCGCTCGAGGTAAACGAGCCGAGCTGGGCAGGGCGGTGGCGACTTCAGCCAGGGTGAGAACACAGCCAGCTGTTCCATCACGTGGGAAGCAAAGAACCAAACCAAGACGGGGGCGGAGCAGAGCTGAGGCGGAAGAACAAGCAGGCCATGGCAACCGATTGACTTCCAGACTTCAGCTAGATAAGGGCTGTGCTGCCACCCAGGGGCACTGCTGAGATGGAGCTGACCATGCAGCTGACTCTAGAACCTTCTGTGCTACTACACCTGTAGTTGATACTCAACCATACCTACGTGAGTAGCTAGCCAAAACATTAAAATGCTCCCAGATTGGTTGGTATGGAGCAGCTTTGATCCTGGTAGATTTGCCACTGTGCTGGGGTCTCCCCAAACTCCCAGAAGTCAGGGCTATAGGGCAGAGGCCAGTGGGGTCCCCAGACTCTCCCCAGTCCACTGAAGGCAGGCCAGCGGCTACACTCCAGTGACCATTAAGACTAGATCCTGGGCTCAGTGGTAGAGTGCTTGCCTCGCATGCATGAGGCCTTGGGTTCAATTCCTCAGCACCACATAAGCAGAAAAGGCCAGAAGTGGCACTGTGGCTCAAGTGGAAGAGCACTAGTCTTTTTTTTTTGTTTGTTTGTTTTTTTGGGTCCGGTTGTGGGGCCTGAACTCTGGGCCTGGGCGCTGTCCCTCAGCTCTTCAGCTCAAGGCTAGCGCTCTACCACTTGAGCCACAGCGCCACTTCTGGCTCTTTTCTTTTTGCTTATGTGGTGCTGAGGAATCAAACCCAGGGCCTCATGCATGCAAGGCAAGCGCTCTACCACTGAGCCACCTTCCCAGCCCAAGAGCACTAGTCTTGAGCTGAAGAGTTGAGGGACAGTGCCCAGGCCCAGAGTTCAAGCCCCACAATTGACCAAAAAGAAAAAAAAAAAGACTAGATCCTACTTCTAAAACCTTTGCCAGTCTTCCTTGGTGCCCTAGTCCCCCATACCTCTTCTTCATGGTCATCCTGGGCACCATGGGCTGCTGCAGAAGGCTTCTGAGCAGACGGGCTGGCATGGCCACCCTCCATGTCATCTGTGGCATTTGAGTGGAGTGTGAAGGACTGCAGCTGTCAGGAAGCAAAGAAGAGAGGGCCAAAGTCACCCTTAGAACTACACCGGTACTGCGTCCACTGGGATGACCATGTGGTTCTTGTCCTTGCTCATGCTGATGTGTTGAATTACACTCATTGACTTGAGTGTATTGAACCAGCTTTGCATTCCTGGAATGAATCCCATTTGATCACAGTGTTACAATTTTTTTTTTGGTTAGTTGCTGAATTTTATTGAGAAGTTTTGCATTGATGTTCATCAAAGAGATGGGTCTAGAGTTCTCTTTCTTTGATGAGATCCTATCTGGCTTGGGGAAGAGGGTTATGCTGGCTTCATCAATTGAGTTTGGTAGGGATCTTTCCCTGTCTATTTTATTGAAGAGTTTAAGGAGTTTTGGAGTGAGTTCTCCTTACCCTGGACATGATTAATTAAACAGGACTCTAAACATTCACACAGTGAGACCAAAGGAGAATATTCTTAGGAGAGTATCACAAGTGCTCAATAGCTATATCACAAGTGCTCAATAGCTATGTGCATACGATCATATAAAATGATGCTTATCAACATAAACTCCAAGAAATGGAAACAAGAGGTATTTTTAGTCTACTGTTTGTGGTTCTTTTTTCTTTCTTTCTTTTTTCTTTGCTTTTTTCCCCTTTTATCACTTTTTTTTAAATTTTCTGTCTTGTATGTAAGTTTATCTGATTGGGGAGGGGACGGGAAGCACAGAATTGGTGGACAAAGGGCGAGCCAAGCAGCAGCGATACGCACTAGACGTTATGTTGGAATGAACTATACAACTTGGTGGGGAGGGAGAAGGGAGGGGAAGTCTGGGAGAAAGTGAGCGAGGGAATGCTACTGTTAAAAAAGAAATGTATTCACTACCTGACTTGTGTAACTGTAACCCCTCTGTACATCACCTTTACAATAAAAATAAAATAAGAGTACTATGTCAAATGAAAGTTCTCCTTCAGTGTTAACTATAAGCCAGGCATGGTGGCACAAGCCTGTAATCCCAGCACTTGGGAAGCCGTGGCAGGGAGACAGCTGAGTTCAAGGTTAGCCTAGGCTACAAAGTAAGACACTATCTCAAAAAACCTAAAAGGTTAACTAGGTATTTGGTCCTGGTCTAAACTTATCTCAGGGGCTGGGAAGGTGGCTCAGTGGTAGAGCGCTTGCCTTGCATGCCTGAGGCCCTGGGTTCGATTCCTCAGCACCACATACGCAGGAAAAAAAAGCCAGAAGTGGCACTGTGGCTCAAGTGGTAGAGCGCTAGCCTTCAGCTGAAGAACTGAGGGACAGCGCCCAGACCCAGAGTTCAGGCCCCATGACTGGACCAAAAAAAAAAAAAAAACTTATCTCACTGAGTCTTCAAACCAACTATTTTATATACGTAGACTTATCAGCCTATTTTATAGAAAATTAAACTAGCACAGAAAAGTTTCAAATTGTGTCCAGTGCCACAGGCTGGCAAGGCCAGTGACAGTCAGGACCCAAAAACAGGTAGTCCCACTGCAGACAGAGCACGCACTTTTATCCCATTGCACTGGAGAAACTTGCAATGATGCCTTTTTTACAGAAAGGCAATACACGCATCGAAGATCCCTGTTGTTAAAAGAAACACATCCTGCAGATTGGGCACTGATAGTTCATACCTGTAATCCTAGCTGCTTGGGAGGCTGAGATCTGAGGATTGTGGTTTGAAGCCAGCTTGGGCTAGTAAATCTGCGACTCTTATCTCCAATTAACCACCAAAAAGCTAGAGATGGAGCTGTGGCTCAACAAGGAGCGTGCCAGCTTTGAGGGCAAAAAAAAAAAAAAAACCCTAAGAGACAAAATGGCCAGGCCCTGTGTCAAGCTCTAATAGTGAAACAGAGGGGGGGGGGGGGGGGGGAGGAGAAGGAGAAGGAGAAGAGGAGGAGGAGAAAGCGGAGGAGGAGGAGAAGGAGAAGGAGAAGAGGAGGAGGAGGAGGAGGGAAGAGGAGGAGGCTGATGAGGAGGAGGTAGTGGTGGAGGAGGAGGAAAAGAATGAAAGAAAAGAAGGAAGGAAGGAAGGAAGGAAGGAAGGAAGGAAGGAAGGAAGGAAGGAAGGAAGGAAGGAAGGAAGGAAGGAAAAAGGGAAGGGGAGGAAGAAGGAAAGGGGAGGAAGGGAGGGAGGGAGGAAGGAAGAAAGGAAGGAAGGAAGGAGAAGGGAGGGAGGAAAGGAGGAAGGGAGGGAAGGAGGGAGGGAGAGAGAGGAAGAAAGAAAAGAAAGAAAGAGAGAAAGAAAGAAAAAAAAAGAAAACACACCCTGTCAAAATTTTACTGGGCAAAATTACCAAGATTAATAACTTTCCCAACACAGATAATCTCTTGAAAATAAAAGCACCATAGTATAGAACAGCTTAGGGGGGAAAAAAAGCACAAGAACACTAGACAGTTATTGTTCTGTTCAGCCTGGTTACACACTAAGGTTTGAGTGTAACGCCGATTAATTTTCCACTGTCTGAAATGCTTAGAATCAGACATATTTTGAATTCCCCTGTTTTTGATTTTGGAATCTTTGCACAATTATGTGCAAATATTATCTACTTGTGTGCATGTATGTTATACCAAACACGTGTGCTGTGAAGGGAAATTAACCATAGGTTTGGTCCACCTCCATTTTAACTGTGAGCAGACGCACGAGGCCAGGTGTGGACTTTTCCACTCATGGCGTCCTGTTGGAGCTCAAAATGGTTCTGAGACGGGGCTGGGAAGTTGGCTCAGTGGTAGAGCGCTTGCCTTGCATGCATGAGGCCCTGGGTTCAATTCCTCAGCACCACATAAGCAAAAAGAAAAAAGCCGGAAGTGGCGCTGTGGCTCAAGTGGTAGAGCGCTAGCCTTGAGCTGAAGAGCTGAGGGACAGCGCCCAGGCCCAGAGTTCAGGCCCCATGACCAGACCCAAAAAAAAAAAGAAAAAAAAATGGTTCTGAGACATCTAGATTTTGGATTTTCAGTTCAGCACTGCTTAAGTTTCATTCCTTTCAAGTCTTTGCGAGTGGCTTTAAATGTCCCACATCCCTCCAGACTCACTTCCTGGCAGATGCTCTCCCACTCGAGTCCTGCCCCCAGCTTTACGTTTCTGTCTTTGGCAGATCTGCTTTCATAGCTGCAGGGCTCTGAGCAAATTCCCTTGCCAGATGTTTAAACATTTACCAGTTAAAAATCAAGCCAACAAACTCTTAAATAAAATATGCTCTCACCTCTTCTTAGCTTGATTCCTCAGAAGGTGGAAGGTCAGTTGGGACTTTGATTTCTTTTCAGGAGAGGTGTGTGGACATGTGTGGTGCACAGTGTTGTTGTTGTTGTTAATTTGCGTGTCTGTTGTGTGGTGCTGAAGATTAAATACTGTGAGGACCTTGTGAATAACAGCCGACCATGTTACTACTGAGTGGCAGCCTCCAACCTGGGACTTTGAACTTGAACCCAGCTTTCCAAGTTCTAATAAGGGGGGATCTATCTCCCTTCATTGTCTTGGCCTCTCCTCCATTAACTCCACAATCCACAAGTACTTTTTGCCGACCCGGACCCCATCTCCCATAGAAATTACATTTGAGATCAATATTCAACAGAGATTTTAGAAAAGTAGAATTTAATCTGAAAATATTTCTAACCATTTAAGGCATTCATGATCTCCATACAGTCCATTTAATCCTTCTCACTAATGGAAGCAAGCAGGGGGAATATAAAGTCAGGCCGGGGCTCAAATGTCCAGGGAAGGGCTAATCTCCCTAAATCCTATTTACTGTAGGCCATTATTAAATGCTTCAGCACTTCCAAGTAAATCTGAGCTTCCCAGCGGTATAACAAAAGGAAAAAAAATGGCTCAAACAAATATTTAGCAACAGGAGGAAAATCACCTATAAATAAAGAGCCGACTTATTTCAAGTGTTTACTTCTCTGGTTCTACAATGCAATCTACAATGTAATGTAATGAAATCTCACAACTCTAGGACACTGCTCAAAAAACAACTTTTACTATTCATTAAAGAAGTAAAACTAGATTAAAATACTCCTATGTTCAACCAATAACACAATCAAGTTTAGACTCTTAGAAATCATAAACTACCATGAAGCAGCAGCCACACATCCTAAGCAGAGTCTTTAGGAGCAAGATCTAATGTGTTAGAGCCAGGCACTAGTGGCTCACACCTGTAATCCTGGCTATTCAGGAGGCTGAGATCTTAGGACCATGGTTGGAAGCCGGGTTGGGCAGGACAGTCCATGAGGTCCTTATCTCCAATTAACCATCATAAAATTGGAAGTAGAGCTGTGGCTCAAGAGGTAGAAATAAGGGACAATGCCCAGGTCCTGAGTTCAAGCCCAGTGCTAGCACGCGCCGCGCGCACACACACACACACACACACACACATACACACACGCACACGCGCATACACACACACACATACACACAATTTAATGTGTTAGAGAAGATTATTATGCTGGAAATTAGCTGGGCACATGGCTCCTTCCTGTAACGATTGCTATTCAGGAAGCAGCAGGAGCCAGCCCAAGCAGAAAAGTCCTCAAGACCCTATCTCCAAAATGCCAGCCTGGAGGTAGGGTCAGTACCAGCCCTAAGCAAAAAAGCCAAGCAACAGCTCCTGAGCCTTGAGTTTAAGCTCCAGCACTAACACCCACAAAAAAAGAGGACCCAGACCCCGCAGTGGGCACACCCAAGCCTGGACTTACCTGAGACCTCCGGTGCCTGGCTCTGAGCACGAAGGGCTTGATGAGCAGCATCCAGGGCACGGCAAGCAAGGCCATCACCACAAAGAAGGTCTGGACTTCTTGCTGCAAGACCAACAAAATCATCATAATGAAGCCCACAGAAGCGCTGCGCAGTGAACACGGCACACATGGGTGATCTCAGCAGCACCGACTCACAGCAGACATTCCCAGAGGCGGGGCAAGAGTACGGGCTCAGCGGGGCTCAGCCTGCGGTGCCCGCCAGCCACCGGCGACAGCTGTGACTTTACGGCCTATCTCCACGTAACCCCTCACCGCTCATGTGCTCCCGAGCCTAATCTTGGAACAAGAAGTGGGGGTGCCACGTGTGGCGGTCAGCTTGATGCTTCCCGGCCCTCAAGCCCACTCCCCGAAGTCACCTGTGACATGGGACGCACAAAAGGCAGAGCATGTGACTCACGCAGCACGCCATTCTGTGCAATCTATCTTGGGTCCATTTGTACTTCATCAATGATTTTTATTTTATTTTATGCCAGGACTGGGCCTTGAACTTGGGACCTTGTGCTCTCTCTTAGCATTTTTCACTCAAGACTACCCAAGTGATTACTCACTGAGTTCTTCTTATATCCAGTGGGAGGACGGGGGGAGGAATTTATAGTTTTGCAAAAGAAAATACTGCTGGCCCTCTATCGTTCATAGGAGGAGTCCCTAAGTCTGATTCTGTAGGAGAGGCTGAGTTTCTTTTTTCTTTGGGTTTTTTTTTTTTTTTTGGTCCAAACCAAAACTTGAACTCAGTACCTGATGCTGTTGCTCATTGGCTAGTGCTCTACCAGCTGAGCCATGCCCCCAGCTCCAAGACTGGTTTTCTAGACACTTACAACCAGTATAAAACAGAGATGCTCCTCATCTTCATTCTATTCAATTTTCTTTCTTATGAACCTCAACTAATGTCTGCGTTTTTTTTTTTAATAAACTGGTGTGTGTGTGTGTGTGTGTGTGTGTGTGTGTGTGTACTGGCGCTTAAACTCAGGGCCTTGCACTCTCTTGGCTTCTCCACTCAAGGCTGGTGTTCTACCACTTGAGCCACACCTCCACTCTGGCTTTTTGCTGGTTAAGAAGCTCAAGAATTTTTCTGCCCCGGCTGGCTTACAGTCATGCGCCTTAGGTCTCAGCCGTGTGAGCAGCGAGGATTACAGGTGTGAGACATTTGAAGCATCAGCTTAAATGCAGCTTTTCTAACAAGCAGCTATACCTGATGGCTATACAGGGGTGCGTTGGAGGGGTCGTCATAGTCAAACAGAAACATGTTGATGAAGTGGATGAGGATGCTGGGGGCATACTGGGACACGTGGGCATCATACTGGCACCATTTGAAAATGATCATGAACACCAGGTATCCGAACAGGCTCAGGATAAAAATCATCTCTGGGATGAACTGCAGAAGGATGTTCATTATTTTCCTGAAGAATCTGAGGACAGGGACACAGAAGACAGACCATGAAAGGCACATTACTACTGAAATACTCTTCCCCAAGCACAGAATGTTCCATGCCTTTTTCTGAGCGCTCCCCTGGCAAACAGAGCCATGTACGCATAGAACAGAAAAGACAGGAAATACTGGGAAGTGTTTCTGATACAAAACATTCAGAGAAAGCCAAGTACCAGTGGCTCATGCCTATAATCTTACCTAGTTGTAAGGCCGAGATGTGAAGATCGCAGTTTAAAGCCAACTCAAGCAGAAAAGTCCAGAAGACCCTTATCTCCGGTTAACCAGCAAAAAGCTGGAAGCAGAGGGATGGCTCAAGTGGTAGAGCATCCATCTTGAGCAAAAAAAAAAAAAAAAAAAAAAGCCAAGAGAGCTGGGCACTAGTGGCTCACATCTATGATCCTAGCTACTCAGGAGGCTGAGACCTGAGGGTGTGGGTCAAAGCCAGCCGGGGCAGGAAAGTCCATGAGACTCATCTCCAAGAAACTACTCAGAAAAGGCCAGAAGTGGTGCCATGGCTCAAGTAGTAGAGCACTAACCATGAGCAAAAAGGAGCTCAGAGACAGCGCCCAGGTGCAGAGTTTAAGCCCCAGGATTGGGGCTTAGAATTTTTAAAAGCCAAGAGAGAGCGTGAACCCTGAGCTCAAGCCCCAGAACTGGTACACAAAAAAAGGGGAAGACAAGGAGGCAGAGGAAGAAAGAAGAAAAGAAAACAGAGGAAGAGGTGGAGGAGGAGACGGAGAAGCAGGGACAGCGGGTGTGGTGCAGAATACAGGGTCGCACACCAGCCAGAAGTTCCACAAGTCCTCCCTGGATCACTGCTTGAACAAAGCTTCCACCTTGCAGGTGTTTCCAATGACTTTTGACAGACTGCGTAGAAGAAAGAGTCCCTGTTTCCAGCCAGGCCGGCAGCACAGAGAAACAGCGCGCTGGTGACTCCGCCCTAGCTAGGCACTGCGGTTCCCTAGACAGGTAACTCCAGACACTCACATGTGATTGAAGAGGCTGAGAACAACGCCAAAGATCATCTGCACAATCCCAAGGATAACCGACATCTTCATTTTGTAAGAGTTCAAAAAGGTGAGTTTGTTTGAAGCCAGGTTCCAAATCTGGATAAAGAAACACAACAGGAATAGGTGAATGCCCGGCGTCGGCAGCTCACGCCTGTAATCCTAGCTACAGAGGAGCTGAGAGCTGAGGATCGAGATTCAAAGCTGGCCAGCACAGACAAATCTGAGAGCTCTTAGCTCCAATTAACTAGCAAAAGGATGGAAGCAGCAGGGCACCAGCCCTGAGTGAAAAAACCTAGTGAGAGATCAAGGCCCTGAGTTTGAGAGTGAGTACCAACACTCTCTCTCTCCAGATTTTCTTAGCAAGTATGTATTACTTTAAGAACCTTAAATTTATTTCCTTCCTTCTTTCTTCTTTCTTTTCTCTTACCCTCCCTCCCCCTCTCCTTCTGGAAATTCTTTATTTCAACATCTTATCGTCTCCTTCACCCCAACTTTTTTCCTTCCTTTCCTAACTTGTTAGCAGAAGACAAAATTTCATGTAAAGAAGAAATCTAGACCATTGACTATATTATTTTTTTTGGGGGGGGGTCCGGTCGTGGGGCCTGAACTCTGGGCCTTGGCGCTGTCCCTCAGCTCTTCAGCTCAAGGATAATGCTCTACCACTTGGGCCACAGCGCCACTTCCAGCTTTTTTTTTCTTTTTGCTTATGCAGTACTGGGGAATCGAACCCAGGGCCTCATGCATGCAAGGCAAGCGCTCTACCACTGAGCCACCTTCCCAGCCGTGGACTTTAAAATATACATTTCTACATGCTGCTCTGCCTGAGGGCAGCAGACAGTTTGCTGATGCCTTGAATGTGGGCTGGGAAAAGACAGGAAGCCATGAATTCCAATGCAAAGGAAGACGGTGAGACCCTTAACATCATATGGTTCTGTCCAAAGATAAGGCTTTCCAGTCTACAAATATAACCACATGCATTTGGGTCTAACCCTTCACGCTTAAAAACCAGATTGCAAGGATTTGACCTGGTTCATAAACTGTAGAACACATGACACATGCTAATGATTCACACCTGTAATCCTCACGACTGAGGAGACTAAGAAAACTAAGCTCAGATCCAGGTTCAAAGACAACCTGGGCAGGAAAGCTCATGAGACTCCTATCTCCAATTAACCAGCAAAAAGCTGGCTCAATTGGTAGAACACCATCCTTGAGCAGAAGTTAAGGGACAGAACTGAGATCTCCACTTCCAGCCCACAAAGAGAAGCTGTGAATGAAAACATGAACGTCAAGCATCTGCCAGGTTCAAGTCTAGCCTGTTCATATTCATTTGGAGCACAAGGCTGCCCCCTGGTGGCAGTCTGTGCTGGGCCATCATGAGCTTGGCTTATCATAAGCTTGGGCATGTGTATCTGGAATCTCCTTTGTTCTTGTTCATCCCACATCTAGTTGACTAGGATACAACAAGCAAATAAATAAAACGAAGTGGATATCTTCTTTTAAAATGTGTGTTGAGGCAGTTAAAACAAAAGTAAAAGCAAAGCTACTCAGGAGGCTGAGATCTGAGGATCATGGTTCAAAGCCAGTCAGGGCAGTAAAGTCCATGAGCCTCTTATCTCCAATTAACCACCAGAAAACAGGAAGTGGCCTGTGGCTCAAGTGGTAGAGCGCTAGCCTTGAGCTGAAGAGCTGAGGGACAGCTCCCAGGCCCAGAGTTCAAGCCCCACGGCTGACAAAAAAAAAGTAAGCAAATGTGTAGTTTACTACAAAAAATAGAAAATGCTGCCGGGCACTGGTGGCTCATGTCTATGTAATTCTATTCAGAAGGCTAAGATCTAAGGATCTTAGTTCAAAACCAGCTAAGGAAGGAAGGTATGAGACTCTTATTTCAATTAACCACCAGAAAGCCAGAAGTAGAGGTGTGGCTCGAGTGACAGAGCACCAGCCTTAGGTTAAAAAGCCAAATGAGAATATGAGGCCTTGAGTTCAAGCCCCAGTACCCGCACTAGATGATAGATAGATAAAAGGGAGAAACGCTCCCCCCTGAGAGAAAACAACAAAGGAAAGGGCCTGATCGATGCTAAATAAGGTATCTGCTAAATAGACTCCCTACCAAACCAAGGGCTTTTCAGAATCATTCACCTAACTCCGAGTGGAATGGCAGAAGGATGCCGAGAGCGGTGGGGCTGAGGAACGATCACAAGGAGGGTTTGTACTGGAATCCAGCGCCATGTTTCATAAAAAACCTCTGGCTCATGTTCATCCATCTGATCCCAAGATTTGTGGGGTTGATGCATTCTCGTCCTTCTTCCTCCTCTATTCAGAGAGCTTCTCTACAACATTCTACACAGAAGACATTCTTACCGGATCAATCCCAAATGGGTATGGATTTCCAGAATACACTCCAGGGATGGTTGGGTTCAGCTGTAAGTAGCTATTTGCTTCCAGTACATGAGTACTGCAGGGAGAGGGAAAAATAAAACAAAATAAAATGAATTGATGACCCATCGGATGAGGAAAAAATAATCTAATGCCATCAGTCCAGATCTTGTAGAACAACCAAAGCCCAGGGTGTTGCTTTATATCACCAAACCCTTAAAATCCCAACCCCTATGCCAAAGGAGCCCCAATCTTTTCGCTGTTCTGCTCACCCTCCATTTATGTTTCCTGAACATTTTGGCAAACAGGTGAAACTTTTGAATTTCCTTACATGAAATTATTGGATCACCTGGGTACTAGTGGCTCACATCTGTCATTCCAGCTGCTCAGGGACCTGAGATCTGAGGATCACAATTTGAAGCCAGCTGAGGCAGGGAAGTTTGAAATGGAGTTGTGGCTCAGGTAGTAGAGCACCAGCCTTAAGTGAAAAAACTAGGGACAGTGCCCAGGCCCTGAGTTCAAGTCCCAGTACTGGTACAAAAAAAAAAAGTTCGATTCTCCTATGCTTGTGGAGGGAAGACCATACTGGAGACCATACATTTGTTTCTGCTCCTCTCCTTTGCTCTGTTCCTCCCAGCTCCCATGTTCACAGAAGTTCCAGAACATGACAAAGAAATCTTATACTGACTCTAAGAAGATGGACAGCCGGGCACTGGTGGCTCAGACCTGTAATCCTAGCCACTCAGGAGGCTGAGATCTGAGGATCATGGTTCAAAGCCAGCCTGGGCAGGAGAGTCTGTAAGACTCTTATCTCCAAACAACCAGAAAACTGGAAGTGGTGCTGTGGCTCAAGTGGTACAACACTGGCTTTGAGCAGCGCCCAGGCCCAGAGTTCAAGCCCCAGGACCAACAAAGAAAAAAAAAAAAGATGGGCAAACATGACCTTTGATGTGTAGGTTCCCAAATTCAGCCCTGAGACTACTTCTGCTCAGACACATGACACAAAGAGTCCTAACCATCACAGGCAGGTGACACCTCTGTCCCTGGCACTCTCCTACTGTCCAGCAGCGCAGGACCTGCTCTTTCCCAATTTACCACACGGACCTTTCCCTCCAGCTCAAGACATCCTCTCTCCCCACAAACACCCCGTTCCGAAGCGCTGTGCACCCACTCTGATGAGCAAATGCTCATCTGACAGACTTCTGGGACACACAGGGGAAGATGGGGTTGGCATCACTTCCAGTCTCTCTTTCCCATGGCCCCCATTCCTCCCGGCCTGCCCCGCTCATTCTATCAGCCACAAGGTCAATCCAGGGAGCTGACGCTACAATCCATCGACTTCTTGATTTTAATGCTGCAGCTAAGCTGCCCCGAGCGGCCCAAATCCATACCATATCTACAATGCCTGCCGTTCTTTTCTTTTCTTTTTCTTTCCCCCCCCCCTGTCTCTGTCTGTCTATCTGTCTGTCTGTCTGTCTCTGTCTCTCTCTCTGCTGGTTCTGGGGCTTGAACTCAGGGCCTGGGCTTTGTCCCTGAGCCTCTCTATGCTCAAAGCTAACGCTCTACCATTTGAGCCAAAGCACCACTTCTGGCCTTTTCTGAATAGTTTATTGGAGATAGAGTCCTACTCAGACTGGTTTCAAACCACGATCCTCAGATCTCAGCCTCTTACTTGCTAGGGTGACAGGCCTGAGCCCCAGCAGGTGGCTCTTTTTTTTTTTTTTTTTTTAATGATGCCAATCCTGGAGCTTGAACTCAGGGTCTCGTACACTCATTTGGCTTTTTCACTCAAGGCTAGCGCTCTACCACTGAGCCACCTTCCCAGCCCCGCTCTACCACTTTAAGCCACAGCACCACTTCTGGTTTTCTGGTGGATAAAAGTCTCACAGACTTTCCTGCCCAGGCTGGCTCTGAACCATGATCTTCAGATCTCAGCCTCCCGAGTAGCTAGGATTACAGGCGTGAGCCACCTACACCTGGCTCATGCACTGAAATCTTAAAAGCGATCTCCATGTCTTACAATGACCAACACAAATTGTTTGCTCAGTAAAGGCAATTCAATGAGGAGTTGGTGGCATGGATGTTGGTAGAGCACTAGCCAATGAGCAAAAGCATCGGGTACCAAGTGTGAGTCCCAGTCTTAGAGATGGAAGTGGAGGAGGAAGAGGAAAGAGGAGAGGGGAGGGGAGGAGAAGGGAGGGGAGGAGAGGGGAGATGAGAAGAGAGGAGAGGAGGGGAGAGGAGGGGAGGGGAAAGGAGGTGGAGGGGAGGAGGAGAGAGGGGAGGGGAGGAAGAGAAGAAAGGGGAGAGGAGAGGAGAAGAGGAGAGGGGAGGGGAGGGGAGAGGAGAGAAGAGGAGAATTATTGGTTGAATTTGCCAGTTCACCATGGAGCAGACCCAGGTAAAGACCCTCATGGGTAGTGAAAGGAGTCGGGCTGTGAACTTACTTCCAGCTGCCGTTCCTAAACATGGCCTGGACACTCCAAGAAGACCCGAAGATGTTAAGAGACTTGGAGAAGCAGTCATTGTAGATCAGCCCCGTGTAAATGGAGAAGATGCCCATGAGGAGGATCAGGTAGCGCCCATGGAAGAAGGTGTTCCAGATCTGGCCCAGGAGACAGGGGGACTCAGGAGGGGCGGGGCTGAGGCTGTCTCCACATCACTGGGAGGGCTGGCTGGGCAGGGGCAACGTCACACACACACACACACACACACACACACACACACACACACACACACACACACACACACGTGCCTTCACTTCACAGTGCGTTGGGGTCTTCCATTATAAAGCTAAGTCTAAGTGTGCTGAGGGGGAAGTGATTTCCGGCGAGGGAGGGATGGTGTGGACCAGTCATTAGCGGAATGGCTGAAGTGGAAATTGGCAACTCACTTGAAATGTTTCCCCTAGAAAACACCTCCGTTAACCTGGTGGTGGAATGTTGTATTTGGATGGCTCTGCCCATTGACCTTGCTTCTGGTTAACTCACTCTGATGTCACTGAGCGAACGCTGACCAATTCCACCGCCATTCAAGATGGCCTCCACCTCACAACTCATAGCAGAGCTAAAGGCATAGTTGCCTTGGCAAATGGATTAGCATAGATGTTAATCAATGAACTGATACTGTGTAATTAGTTACCAGATTGCTAGAATCTTCCTGTCACTCCTGGAAAGGAGTTCATGAAGATACAGCTAGAAGAGCTGATATTCAAGATTTCTTAGTCAGACCTTGTGGGCAATGGACTCTTATGAACAAATATGCATGATATTTGAAGTTTAAAATGGAAGCTACAAACTGGGTACTGATGGCCCATGTCTTAAATCCTATTCAGGAGGCTGAGATCTGAGGATCAAAATTCGAAGCCAGTCTGGGTAAGAAAGTCTATGAGATTCTTTGTTTTTGTTTTTGTTTTGGGTTCGGTCATGGGCCTGGGCGCTGTCCCTCAGCTCTTCAGCTCAAGGCTAGCGCTCTACCACTTGAACCACAGCGTCACTTCCGGCTTTTTTCTTTTTGCTTATGTGGTGCTGAGGAATCGAACCCAGGGCCTCATGCATGCAAGGCAAGTGCTCTATCACTGAGCCACCTTCCCAGCCTGTCCATGAGATTCTTATCTCCAATAAACTATCATAAAGCTGGAAGTGGAGCTATAGCTCTAGTGGTAGAGCACTAGCCTAGAGCAAGAGAAGCTCAGAAATAGTACCCAGGTCCTGAGTTCAAGCTCCAGGACTGGCACAAAGACAAAAAAAGGAAGCTAAAATTCTCATGCCCTCTATGATGAACATTTTTTTGCGGTCGGTTGTGAGGCTTGAACTCTGGGCTTGGATGCTGTCCCTGCCATTCATTTCAAGGCAAGCACTCTAGGGCTTGAACTACAGCACCACTTCCGGTTTTCTAGTGGTTTATTGGAGATAAGAGTCTCATGGACTTTCCTGCCCGGGCTGGCTTTGAACTGTGATCCTCAGATCTCAGCTTCCTGAGTAGCTAGGATTACAGGTGTGAGCCACCAGCGCCCGGTTCATGATGAACATTTTCAAAGTTTCTGAATTTGTGAATAAGCACACACAAAATGGGAAGATATTAAAAAATGTTCATTGTGATTTTTCTCTAGGTGGTAGACTATACTGTTTTCTAGATTTTTCAAAGTATAGGTATGATTTTTATAATGAGAAAAAAATGTTAGAAAAAAAGAGGGGGGTGGAGGTGTAGATTAGTGGTAGAATGTATAGCACTCGTGAAAACCTGAGTTTAGTCCACAGCACCACAAAAGACAAAAATTTAAAAAGAATCCTAGCTACTCAGGAGGTTGAAACCTAAAGATCCTAGTTTGAAGCCAGCTGAGACAGGAAAGCCCAAGAGTCCCTTATCTTCAATTAAACAGCAAAATGCTAGAAGTAGAGGTGTAGTTCAAGTGCAAGAAGCCAAGTATTGAGCAAAAAAACTAAAGGAGCCAGGCCATGGTGGCTCACACCTATAACCCTAGCTACCCAGGAAGCTGAGATATGAGGATCATGGTGCAAAGCCAGCCTAGATAAGAAAGTCTGTGAGACTCTGATCTCTAATTAACTACCAAAAAGTGGGAAATGGCACAGTGGCTCAGAAGAGCACTAGCTTGGAGCACCAAAGCTCAAAGGTAGCAACCAGGCCCTGAGTTCAAGCCACAGGACTGGCAAGTAAAAAAAAAAACCCTAAAGGATACAAGAAGGCCCAGGACCAGCACACACAAAACAAACATTAAAAAGAGCCAGTGTGTTATCAAACAACAAACCCCCAAAATGCTGAGTGAAGTCCACCAAACTATCCAAAGAAGCGATCTCTGGCTGGGAGTTTGATAGTTTAGTGTTGAATTTTGGTTCTTCTCTTACTTTACAGCTCCCCCATCCACCTTCTGTGTGTGTGTGTGTGTGTGTGTGTGTGTGTGTGTGTGTGTGTGTGTGTGTGTGTGTGTGTGTGTGTGTGTGTGTGTGTGCTGGTACTGGAACTCCAGGCCTCACATTCTTGCTTAGCTTTTTTCTTTTCTTTGGTTGGTCATGGGGCTTGAACTCAGGGTCTGGGTGCTATCCCTGAGCTCTTTTGCTCAAGGCTAGTGCTCTACCACTTTGAGCCACAGCTCCACTTCTGGTTTTTGGGTGGTTAATGGGAAATAAGAGTCTCATAGACTTTTCTTCCCATGCTGGCTTTGAACCGTGATCCTTAGGTCTCAGATTCCTGAGTAGCCATGATTACAGGCGCAAGCGATTGGCACCGGCTTAGCTTTTTGTCTCAAGGCTGGCTCTTTACTGCTTAAGCCACAGTTCCGCTTCTGCCACTTTTTTTTTTTTTTAGTGCTTAATTGGAGATAAGAATCTCAGACTTGCCAGTTCCAACTGGCTTCAGAGATCTTCGACTCTCAGCTCCCTGCGTAGGGTAGCGAGGACCACAGCCATGAGCCAGCTCCTTAGTCTTTCCATGAAAACATGTGGCAGAGCACACGCACCACTTAATACGTTGCCCCAGGAGCCCCGGGCACACCCACCTCGCTGCTGCTCTTCTGGGCCAGCAAGCTTCTCTCGTTGATCACCATCCACAGCGCGGCCAGCAGCATGACCACCCCGTGCCCGCAGTCTCCGAACATCACCGCGAACAGGAAGGGGAAGGTGATGATGGTGTAGGGAGCTGGGGAGGGCAGGGGACAGAGACAGCTGAGATGTTAGACCCCCCCATCCACCCCCCGCTCCCACCCACGCAAAGACTTCCCATCACAACCCTTCCTCCTCCCCGTCTCCTGATTGTCCTCTCCCCCAGTCCCAACCCACACCCACCAGCCCAGGAGTGGACATTCTTTTTTTGTTTTTTTGTGGGGTTTTTTTTTTTGGTCATGGGGCTTGAACTCTGGGCCTGGGTGCTGTCCCTGAGCCTTGCAGCTCAAGGCAAACACTCTACCACTTGAGCCACAGCTCCACTTCCAGTTTTCTGGTGCTTTATTGGAGATAAGAGTCTCACGGATGTTCCTTGCCCAGGCTGGCTTTGAACCATGATCCTCAGATTTCAGCCTCCTGACTAGCTAGGATTACAGGCGTGAGCCACTGGTGCCCGACCTGGACATTCTTCCACACTTTACACACTCCAGTCTCGGAGAGACTTCATCAACTGTCAAAAGGTTTGGTAAAAGCCAGGCACCGGTGGCTCACGCCTGTAATCCTAGCTACTCAGGAGACTGAGATCTGAGGATCGCGGTTCAAAGCCAGCCGGGGCAGGAAAGTCCGTGAGACTCTTATCTCCAATAAACCACTAGAAAACCGGAAGTGGTGCTGTGGCTCAAGCGGTAGAGCGCTCGCCTTGAGCTGAAGAGCGCAGGGACAGCGCCCAGGCCCAGAGTTCAAGCCCCATGACTGACACACACACACTAAAAAAAAGGTTTGGTGAGATTTAAAAAGAATGTTCTGCCAGGTTCACATCTGTAATCTTAGCTACTCAGGAGGCTGAGAGCTGAGGATCCCAGTTTGAAACCAACCTGGGCAGACAAAGTCATAAGCAAGTAGTAAGCAAAAGCTTGGAGTGGAGGTATGGCCTAAGTGGTGAAGCGCCAGCCCGTGAGCTGAAAAGCGAAGCAGCATGGCAAGGCCCTGAGTTCAATTCCAAGTACCAGCACACACCAAACGTGTCTATGGCTGTCTTTTATATTCTCTCCACCACCATTTGTCTGTGTCTCCCTCGTGAGCACACATCACACACCACACATCACACACTACACACCACACACCACGTACCACACATCACACACCACACACCACACACCACACATCACACACCACACACCACACACCACACACTGCCAGCAGTCACTCACAGGCACGTCAGCCTCCAGCAGAGGCAGAAGGATTGTGAGTCTGAGACCAGTCTGAGCTACATCGTCAACAACAAAGGTAAGGCAGAAGGCAACACATCTTTTAGCAGCTGGAATGTATGAAGGGCAGGACATTAGAAAACCAACATCGACTTCAAGAATGTCCGTTTTTAACCACTTCACCTCCCCTGCCCCCAAGAGGGCCACCATACTGAATATTCCCATTCACCCACCATGCAATGTATCCGATCTTACCTGGATTGATCTCCCGGTAGCTGCCCACGCCATATGCATCCACAATGTTCTGGAAGCCGGCTGTGAATTTATTGGTCCTGTTAAAGGTGGGGGGAGCTGTTTTAGATTCCACTTCAGTCAAGATGGGGACCATGGAGGAGCCGCTACGTTCCTGCAGAAAGAAGAGGTGGCAGACCTGTCACATGAACGGGGGACATCCCTTCGTTGTTGGTAGTGGTGGTGGTGGTGGTGACGGGGCTTGAACTCTGGGCCTGGGCGCTGTCCCTCAGCTCTTTCTGCTCAAGGCTAGTGCTCTGCCACTTGAGCCACATCTCCACTTCCAGTTTCTAAGTGGTTAATTGGAGATAAGAGTGTCACAGGGACTTTTCTGCCCAGGCTGGCATCCTCAGATCTCAGCCTCTTTAGTAGCTAGAATTACAGGGGTAAGCCACTGGCACCAGGCTTGGGACACTCTTGACCTTGATAGAGAGCAGTTCCCCCCCTCTTTTCCCTCCCTCCCCCTCCCTCTCTTTCCCTCCATCTCTCTTTCCCTCTCCCCACCCCCCATTTGGTCTCAGACTTTTCTAGACCTAGGATTCTGGCTCCACATCCTCCTAGTACACCTTAGAGATGTAAAAGAGATCTTGAACTGGGTGGCTCACGCCTGTAATCCCTAGGTACTCGGGAAGCTGAGATGTGAGGACTGAGGTTCAAAGCCATCCTAGGCAGGAAAGACCTTGAGACTCTGCACTCCAATTAACCAGCAGAGAGCCTGACGTGGGCTATGGCTCCCCGCCCAAGGTCACACCGCAAGGTCAGGAGTCTCTCGCCCTGTTATGAGATCAGCCTGGCGTGTGATTATCACCTCTTGACCGGCAAGCCCTGCTCACCTCCTCCGCAAGCGGCGTGTGCCTGGCAGAAGCCATCACACCCTCTCCTTTGCTGCTTACCCTTCCTCCAGGTCCCCCATCCGGGGCCTTCGACTCCCTTCCACCCCTGCAGAAACTGTCTTAAGTAGCCTGGGAGTAAGTCTGACCCCTCCATGATTATGGGGAGTGGGAGGGGGTCACGCTCTAACCCCAGCAGTAAAGCACCACCTCCCCTCCCCCACTCCCCCAAGCTTCACATGGTCCCGCTCATGCCCTGCCTCCTCCTGGAAGCCCCCCTTGCCTGCCCCGTCCAAGCAGACATGCCTCTTTCCAATATCCCATCTGGGTAATGTGGGGGCTGTGGGTGGGGACCCAGGAGTGTACCAGGGGTTAGGAGGAACATGTCCTGTATTCAAATCCTGCCTTCAGCATTGTACCTGGAGCCAGGTAGCAGGTGAACTCCCTGTTCCTCTTCTGTACCAAAAGGACTAAGCATGGCACCCACCCGCTACAGGCGCCGCCCTGATCCTCAACCCAGCAGGCTCCCCCTCCTCAACGCCCCACAGATGATTCAAACACACTCCCCACATCCTTCAGCAGGAGGCAAAGATCGCCCACGCTCTTATTCTCACACCCACCCCCCCAAGGCCCCTGGGCTCCCTCTGCCCACAAGCGCCCCTGCCACGCGGCCCTGCGAGGCTTGCGCTGCCTCCTACCTGGGCCCTGAGTGTCTGTGACCCTCACACTGCCGGTCCCATCTGTCCCTGTCCTATGTGCATGACACCCACGGGGTGCGATCCACGGGGTGCGATCCACGGGGTGCACAGGTGATTAGAACAAGCCCACTCCCTACGCCATCTATCATCACTTTCCTGTCCGATTTCCCTCCACCCTCGCTTGACCTGAAATCACAGCCTCCAAACACGTGCGCTGTCCACCCCCTTCTACAGCCTACACCTGTTCCTGATGCCCAGTGAATATCCGGGAGACAAACACAGAGAGCTGTAAGGTCCAAACACTGGTCAGGCACCAGCAGCTCATGTTTGTCATCCTCGCTACTCAGGAAGCTGTGATCTGAGGATAATAGTTTGAAGCCAGCCTGGGTAGGAAAGTCCTTGGGATTCTTTTGTTGTTGTTGTTGGTAGTGGGGCTTGAACTCTGGGCCTGGGTGTTATCCCTGAGCTCTTCAGCTTAGGGCAAGCACTCTACCACTTGAACCACAGCACCACTTCCAGTTTTCTGGTGGTTACTTAGAGGTAAGAGTCTCATGGACTTTCCTGCCCAAGGTTGGCTTTGAACCATGATCCTCAGATCTCAGCCTCCTGAGTAGCTAGGATTACAGGCGTGAGCCACTGGCGCCCAGCATCCTTGAGACAGTTAACCAGCAAAAAATAAAATAAAATAAAAACAGAAGTGGAGCTGTGGCTCAAGTGCAGAGTGCCAGCCTTGAGTGAAAAAGCTAAGAGGCAGTGTTCAGGCCCTGAGTTCAAGCCCCGGTATGGGTGTGCGGGTGTGTGTGTGTGTGCACGCACATGCACGCACACACACACAAAATAATAAATACTGAACATAGTTAGTGCTTAGCAGTGATAACAAAGGTACAAGGACGGAGAAAAATGTGACCCAAGTCCTTGAGAAGTTTACAAGGCCAGCCACCATGGGGAGCCCCATAGAGATGTACACGCACACGCACGTGCACACACACATGCACACATAGCACACGCATGCACACATACACACCACACACATGCATGCACACACAGACAAGCACACACAGCACACGCATTCACACATAGCACACACATGCACACACACACATGCACACAGCACACACATGCATGCACACACACAGAGAAGCACACACAGCACACACATGCACACATAGCACACACATGCGCACACACATGCATGCACACATACACACAGCACACACATGCATGCACACATACACACAGACAAGCACACACAGCACGCGCATGCACACGCGCACACGCACACACACACTCACCATGCCCTGCTCCAAGGCCCTCTTGATACGCCCTGTGTCGGCCACTGGGAACCAGATCTCGGCGATGACGCACTGCTGGGTGACGTCAATGTTGCACATGTTGAGAATGTGGTAAATGGCCTTCATCTTCTGCACCTTGGTGAGCCAGGCGTGCCAGCTGGCAGCTGCTTCCTGCAGCAGCCGCTGGCGGTGAGATTCCGTTTGCGTGATGACCTGAGCCAAACAAGAAAGACAAGGCACAGAAACCCGAGGACACACGCGGGATTAGACAGACATGGAGGCCCATCCGGCATGGGGCTTCTCCTGCCCACCCAGACCTCACCCCTCCTCACTGGCTGCCCTCCCTAGCGGAGCGTAGAGCCCTAGCAGACACCATTCCTCATGGTTCTGTGGTGACACATTGAATCATGCCCCCACACCACCACCACACACACAAAAGATTTGGGTTACAGTCTGAACTCTGGTGCGTGTGACTCGGAACTTATTTGGGTCTCTGCAGATGTAATCAAGTTAAGATGAGATTGTACTGGATTACAGTGGATTCTGGTCCAACAGGGCCGCTGTCTTTCAAAGAAATTGAGAGAGGAGGCTCTCAGGAAGAACAGTATGCCACCACAACGGAGAGGAGAGGAACACACACAGCGGGGCCACAGCACCCCACAGGCTGGAAGAGGGCAAGAGGAGCCTCCCGCACACTCACGGAGGGACCGTGCCCAGAAGACACCCCGACTTTGGACATGACCCCAGAATTGTGAGAGGATCCATTTTTGTTGGCTGTGTTAAGACATCCAAAGCCAGGCACCAGTGGCTCACGCCTGTAATCCTAGCTACTCAGGAGGCTGAGATCTGAGGATCGTGGTTCAAAGCCAGCCCAGGCAGGAAAATCTGTGAGACTCTTATCTCCAATAAACCACCAGAAAACCAGAAGTGGTGCTGTGGCTCAAGTGGTAGAGCGCTCACCTTGAGCAAAAGAACTCAGGGACAGCACCCTAGCACTGAGTTCAACCAAATAAAAATAAAAATGAAGAAGGAGGAGGAGGAGAGGAGAAGGGGGAAGAGGGAAGAAGGAAGGGAAGGGGGAGGAGGAGGAAGAAGAAGAGGAGGAAGAGGAGGAAGAAGAGGAAGAGGAGGGAGAAGGAGAAGGAGAGGAGGAAGAGGAGGAAGAGGAAGAAGAGGAAGAGGAGGAGGAGAAGAAGAAATAAAGACATCCAGCTTGTGGTCATTTATTACAGCTGCCTCACAGTATACATCAGTGTAACCATCAAAATGCTTTTCGTACTTAACCTCGCCAATAAATGGCAAATGGGTCAGTGAAGGGAGGAAAGAATGGATGATTTGGTCCTCGTTAAGTTTATTTAATGGAATTAGTCTTTATGCTTAATGATCCAATAAATATATGTGGCCATTATAACAGACCACAAGAGATACTCTGCAGCTGTCAGATTCGTGACAGCCAGGGGATCACTGGTGTGTCTCTTAAGGTCCCTAAAGAAATGGTTCAACCTGGCCTGAGGGTTTCCAGGAGACACTTCACCTTGGCGGCACTGCCATACTCCTTAGAACAAAGCTCACGTTACAAAAACAGCTCATATTCATTAGGAAACACCCGCTAACCGCTCTCTCTGCAAACAGGAATAAGCAGGGGGAATATTCCCCACACTTTAAGAACGGGTCCCTCACGGTCAGTTAGTCCCCTGGCACCGGACGCCACCTGCCCGGTGCCACCACCTGCTCCCGATCTGAGCTGTAAGAGCCGTGCTGGAAAGGACTGCCCAGCCCAGGTGGCCTTGTGCTCATCCTTGGCTCAGACTGGTCAGGAGAGAAGCTAGTGCTGGCTTCACTAAGACCACCCCAAATCTCACAACAGGACAGGGGTTTCTATTTACCATAGACATAAACAGGCTTTGCAGGATTCCTCTTTCAGCACGTTTTCCTGAACACTACCATGCAGTATTGGGGGAGGACCTCAAGAGCGACTGCCCAGGGAAGAAAGGAACGGACAAGATGAAAGGAATAAACAGATCTTCTGAGCTGGGTACCAATGGCTCACACCTGTAAGCCTAGCTACTCAGGAGGCTGAGATCTGAGGATCGCAGCTCGAAGCCAGCCTGGGCAGGAAAGCCTGTGAGACTCTTGTCTCTAATGAACCACCAGAAAACTGGAAGTGGAGCTGTGGCTCACAGTGGTGGAGTGCTAGCTTTGAGCAAACAAAGTTCAGGGACAGCACCCAGGCCCTAAATTCAAGCCCTAGGACCATTAAAAAAAAAAAAAATTGATAGTGGAGCTGTGGCTCAAGTGGTAGAGCATAAGTCTTGAGTGAAAATGGCAAGAAGAAAGCATGAAGACCTGAGTTTAAGTCCCAGTACTAGCCAAAAAAAAAACAGACTTTGGGGGCTGGGAAGGTGGCTCAGTGGTAGAGCGCTTGTCTTGCATGCCTGAGGCCCTGGGTTCGATTCCTCAGCATCACATAAGAAAAAAGAAAAAAGCCGGAAGTGGCGCTGTGGCTCAAGTGGTAGAGCGCTAGCCTTGAGCTGAAGAGCTGAGCGACAGCGCCCAGGCCCAGAGTTCAGGCCCCACGACCAGACCCAAAAAAAAAAAAAAAAAAACAGATTTTTCTGGGAAGATACATGTCTGTTTAGGCAAGGCTTTTAATACATACACACATGCACGCTCACGCGTGCACACACACATGCATCTGCTTTCTGAGCTCCCTCCTTTAGGACCTAAAGTTATGCCAGCTTTTTCAGAAGCCACATGCAGCTACTTAAATTCACATTTAATTAAAATCACACAACAAAGTTCCGTTCCTCTGCATCACTAGCCACGTTCCCAGAGCTCCTAGTTCCAACACCGGAACTGGTAGGCTGCACCAGAAAGTTCTGTTGACTAGAATGTTCTAGAATATACCAACAGCTGGCTTCAGGGACCACTTGCAAAGCTACTCTGACTGGAGAAGGCTCTCACCTCAGACATGCTCAGTGTCACCCTCGCTGGTGACACACATCATCCATCGCCAGGGAAAAGAAGTTGGGCTGGTGAAACTTGACTGACTGTTTTTATGGAAGTAGTTAATTAGCTTAAACAACTGAACACTGGTCAGACTGGTTAGCTGGATGTAGATGCAAAGGCTGGCAATCAAGGGCCCCTTTGATCCAATTAGGGCCGACTCCTGAGGCTGATTGGGGCTGTGGTCAGATCCTGAGCAGGCATTACTTACCCTCAGCATACTAAGTACTATTTTCTCATTGTGCAATCTCCTGCAGCTGCAACCAGATCAGCACAGCACACCCTCCAGCCGGCACCCCGGGAAACAGGACAGCAAAAGCAGAGGCACCCCATCAGACCCCTGAGCCCCTCACTCACGGTGATTAAATCTTCCAGCCTCGCATTGACTTCAGCCAGCATCTCCCTGCGCTCCGCTGCAGGCTCTGGACAGGGGTAGATGGTGGCCCGAAACCTGTGTTTAACACAATCCAAAGGACACCCACACTGACTGCTGAAAGGCAGCCTCAGTCACTCTTCTTCAAGGCCAGTGTTTGCTGACTTGGCCCTCCTCCCCGCCCCGCACCAGGACACCCTCCTGGTGGACAGTCAGAAAATGAGTCCCCGAGGCAAGGGCAGGTGGTTCACGCCTGTAATCCTAGCTACACAGGAGGCTGAGATCTGAGGATCACGGTTCAAAGCCAGCCTGGACAGGATTAGCTGTGAGACTTTTATCTCCAACTAGGCAGCAAAAAGCCAGAAGTAGACCTATGGTTTAAGTGGTAGAGCCCCAGTCTTAAGTGAAAAAGCTAAGGGACAGCGCCCAGGTCTCGAGATCAAGCCCCAGTACTGGCGAGCGCGCGCGCATACACACACACACACACACACACACACACACACACACACAAAGAGGAAATAAATCCCACGCTCAAGGATTCCTGTCACACCCCTCACTCAAGACACTGAAGCAATGGTTCTCTTGTGTGAATGAGCTGCATGCAAACCATAAAGCCTGAGAGCTGTTCCGGAATAAATTCCGCAGGCCTGGCATCTCTCTCCCTCTAGGATCTACTCCTGTACACTGTACACTTCTGAATTGAGCAATTTCTGCTTGTAAGTGGCATAGCCATGCTATGCACTGTGCCTTTGAGGTGGGGGGGAGGGAGGGGAGACTGAAGACTAGCCTCAGACTCATAATCCTCCTGCCTCACCCTCCAGACACAGGGATTACAGGGCTGCACCTCCACACCAGCTCAGCACCCCCACACCGACTCAGCATGCCTACTCTTCTGCAATAGATAAGGGGTATATACCAAGAAATAAATTGAAATACCATTTAGTAGGGTGCCAGTGGCTCATGCCTATAATCCTAGCTTCTCAGGTTGAGATCTAAGGATTGTGGTACAGAGCCAGATTAAGCAGACAAATCTATAAAACTCTTCTCTCCAATTAACTACCAACATGCCAGAAGTGGAGGTGTGGCTCAAGTGGTAGAGTGTCAGCTTTGAGCAGAAATACTAAGCAAAAGACTCTAAGTTCAAGCCCAAGTAATGGTGCTCACGCACGCGCGTGCACACACGCATACAGACACAGACACACACACAGACACACACGCACACACACACACACACGCACACGCACACACACCACACATGTCAATTGCACTTTTTAGTCATAATCTTATCAAGTGAGATCCTAACAAACGTGCCTGCAGCCCAGTCGCGTATTGCACTGTACACCTCTGTCCCCAATGCCGACCCCAACCATCGGTAACAAGCCATGAATGGTCCCTCTTACCCATCACAGATCTTCTTGATTTTCTGCCTGAGCTGCTCTCCTTGGTAAAATATGATGAATATATTCTTCTTAATTTCTTCTTTCTGGGAAATCAGAACAGTTGTTTAAGCTTCAAAGGAATAGGCTCACTACTTGTTCCACTACTATAGACCCAGGTGGGCTTTAAATTCAGCATTCATTCTAAGAATGTGATTAAAAAACAAGAACAGCCAGAAGAGGAACTAGGTTACTAGAGCTATTGCACATGAAAGGAGCTAGCCTGGCCCACCAGAATTAACCCACATACTCTGCATTGAAGGGATGAATTTGTGTCTGATATTTAACCAACATAAAGGAATAACTAATGTGTGTGTGTGTGCGTGTGTGTGTGTACGTGTGTGTGCGCGCGCGTGCACACGCACCAGTCCTAGGGCTTAAACTCAAGGCACAATCATTGAACTTTTTGCTCAAGGTTAGCACTCTACCACTTGAGCCACAGCGCCATTTCTGGCTTTTTGGTAGTTAATTGGAGGTAAGAGTCAAGCCTAGCAACTCAGGAGGCTGAGAGCTGAGGATCACAATTCAAAGCCAGCCCAGGCAGGGAAGTCCATCAGACAAGCAACAGAGCACTTGGCAAATGTGAGAAATTCAGTTTGAACTCTAGTACCTCAAAAAGTTTAAAAATAAAGAAAAATCCACATGCATTAAAATGCTCCTAATGGCATCTATATTCAGAAGGGAAATGCAAATGAAATGCCCAGAAATAAAGAATGTTTGGTCCACTCAGCAAATATTAGGCATCCATGAAAATAATATCAGAATAAGCCATCTCTGCGGCCATGGCTCAGGAAGGGGATAAAGATGCTGTGGGATTGCTACAGCTAGCTGCTTTACCTTATTTGAAAAGTCTCCTCGACCCATAGAAGAAGCTACTCTGGTCCTTTGCTGAATCACTGAGGCCATCTGATCCACTAGAACCAGGGATCCACTCTGACCTCCAATGTCCCTGGTCACCATTTTCTAGACATTTACTTCATAAATACTCTCTACCCCCAGGACTATTACCTACCAAGCCACGATTACAAAAAGTGATGAACCACTGTCAAATGTAAAATAATCTACATAAAGGGTACACAGCTACAGATCTGGCTCAGGGGTAAAGTGCTTGCCTAGGATGCTCTAGGTCTTGGGTTTGATCCTCACCAGCATGATATATAAATAAATAACCAACTAATACATAGTGCTAGGGGAGAAAACTTCATGTATCTAATAATATCTATACCCATAGAAAAACATATAATATTATTCCTACCTAGGGTTGTAGGCAAGAGAAAAAAAAGTGCAAGAATTAAAAATAAACACCCTAAGCTGGGCATCGGTGACTCAAGCTTGTAATCCTATCCTACTCAGGAGGCTGAGATCTGAGGATCGCAGTTCAAAGCCAGACCGTGAGATTCTTCAATAAACCACCAGAAAACCAGAAGTGGTGCTGTGGTTCAAGCAGTAGAGTGCTCACCTTGAGCAGTAGAGTGCTCACCTTGAGCTGAAGAGTTCAAGCCACACCTGTTGGGTATGAGTGTATTGTGCAGTCTTTTTATTGTAAGTTTTCATGTAACTATGATTTTTCTTAACCAGCACAGCTTGAAATGATGCAAATAAATGGATGGACCTGGAGAGAGAGAGAGGGAGAGAGAGAGAGAGAGAGAGCAAGCAAGCAAAAAAGAAAGCGAAAGAAAGCAAGAAAGCAAGAAAGAAAGAAAGAAAAAAGGAAGGAAGGAAGGAAGGAGGAAGAAAGGGAGGGGGGAGGAAGGAAGGGAGGGAGGGAGGGAAGGAGGGAGGGAGGGAGGGAGGGAGGGAGGGAGAGAGGGAGGGAGGGAGGGAAGGAGGGAGGAAGTATTCATGTCCTGGCGTAAAGCCACAATGCTCTGAGTGTGTGGGCACCCCTGGGGCAGGCCGTGGGAATCTAGGAGTGCTTCCTGCAGGCCTGCCCTCTCCTCCCTTCCCCTCCTCTCCCTGCCCTCCCCTCCCCTCCCCTCCCCGCACCGTGATGGGATCCTCCAGTGGCGTGTCCATCTCACTGAACTTCAGGTAGACATTTCCCCGGCAAACTCGCCAGAGCAGCCTCTCAAAGGAAGCCATCCTCTCCCTGTTTATCACACCAGCTGTGAACCTGGCAGGGAGAAGAGAAGACACCACTGAGGCACGGGGCATGGGGCACGGAGACGCTGAGGCGTCTGTCCCCCTCCACAAGCAGTTCTGGGACAGTGGCCACAAAGCCACCTGGTACCCCAGCCCCAACCCACCCCAAATCTCTTTGGACTTTCTGTTTTCTCTGATAGGAAAGATTACTCATGATAACATTGTAGCTGGTGGAAGCCAATGTTCAACAATGGCCTTGTTTCATTTATACATATATGTGTGTGTGTATAGAAACACAGCAGGTGCCAGTAGCTCACGCCTGTAACCCTAGCTACTCAGGAGGCTGAGATCGAGGATTGTGGTTTGAAGCCAGTCTAGTCAGGAAAATGTGGCGATTCTCATCTCCAATTAACCACCAAGAAGTAAAGCTGTGGCTCAAGTGGTAGAGCACTAACCTTGAGCAAAAAAGCTCAGGGATAGCACCCAGGCCCTGAGTTCAAACCCAGCACAAAAAAAAAAAAAAGACAAAGAAAAGAAAAAAGAAGGAAATGTGCTATGGATAGAAGATTTCTATCCATTTCTACTCTTCCCCTTATGTAGGTATTTAGGTATTTGCTGACCTGAACTCCTCATATGCCCTGAAAACAGTCATTTTCATTCATTTATTACTGGTTTTTTCTATGCTGGTACTGACACTTGAACACAGGGTCTTGCCTGGCTTTTTCCTGCTCAAGACACGCACTCTAGCACTCGAACCGCACCTCCAGTCCCAGTCTTTCTCTGGTTAATAGAGATAAGAGTCTCCCAAACTTTTCTTCCCAGCTGGCTTTGAACCACAATCCTCAGATCTCAGCTTCCTGAGTAGTTAGGATTACAGGCGTGAGCCACCAGTGTGGGGCAGTTTATGACTTTTAATGTATTACCTTTAAGATAATGTAAAGGCTTTAAATAAATAAGTTAGGAAAAATAACTTAAATAAATGTATTTTCTTTTCATTTCATTCAATGTCTAGCACCTCAAAGAGCAGGGTCTAAAAGAGCTATTGACTAAAAAAAACTCTGGCTGCACCAAGGCTCAAGTGGTTAGAGTACCTACCTAGCAAGCATGCCTTTTAAATAATATAATAATAATACCAACTCCAAACTCAATGTCTGAAATGTTTAGAAATACTTTTGTGGGTTTTTTGTGCTAGTCCTAGGGCTTGAACTTGGGGCCTGAGCACTGCATTTCTTTTATTCAAGACTAGCACTCTACCACTTGAGTCAAAGCTCCACCTCTGGCTTTTTGGTAGTTTATTGGGGATGAGTCCCAGGGACTCTCCTGCGTAGGTTGGCTTTGAACTGCCATCCTCAGATCTCAGCCTCCTGAGTATCTAGGATTACAGGTGTGAGGCACCAGAAATACTTTCAAAAAGCTAAATGCAGTGGTTCGCACCTGTGAAGAAGCTTTTAAAATCCATCCAATCTCATTTAAACACGGAATGAAATATTCTTTTGAATTGCCACACATTACATTACTGCTGCATGGGTATAATTTGATTATCTAACCATACCATTTCTAATTGCTTTTAAACTCAAAACATTAGCTAGGCACTGGTGGCTCACATCTGTAATCCTAGCTACTAAGGAGGCTGAAATGTGAGGATCACAATTCAAAGCCGGCTGGGCAGGAAAGTCTGCAAGACTATCATCTCCAATAAATCACCAAAAAGCCAGAAGTGGAGCTGTGGCTCAAGGGGTAGAGTGCTTGCCTAAAATGTATGAAGCTCTGGGTTCAATTCCTCAATACCATATACACAGAAAAAGCCAGAAGTGGTGCTTTAGCTCAAGTGGTAGAGTGCTAGCCTTGAGCAAAAGAAGCTCAAGGACAGTGCCCAGGCCCTGAGTTCAAGCCCCAAGACTGGCAAAAAAAAAAAAAAAAGCCTCAAATTCTAAATGCATTTTATTAAATAGTATTCTAAAAACAACATAGGGGAAAGTTCCACCTGCCAGACATTTAGCTAAGAATGAGGACCCCATCCAGCCATAACTCTTAGGAAACAGAATTCCACTCACCCCAACTTTCCAGTCATGAACGTGGGTATAGTTCTTAACTCCAAGAGACCCGAAGTGTCTTCAGTAAAGAAATCTTCAGCTAAATTAGTTTCTGTCTGAAAGCCAAAACACCAATACCATCACTTAGATGTAAAAGTAACTGAAAAAAGTACCCCAGTCCTACACCTTTTTCTCTCTTTTTTTTTCTTTTCATTCTTGTTGTAGTACTGAGACTTGAACTCAGGGCCATAAGGCCTGAGTTGTGCTCACCCTGGGCTTTTTTGCTCAAGGATGGTGCTGTACCAATTGAGCCACAGTTCCATTCCTAGCTTTTTAGTGGTTCATTGGAGATAAGAGTCTCACAGACTTTCCTGACTGGGCTGGCTTTGAACTTCAATCCTTGGATCTCAGCCTCTGGAGTAGCTAGGATTACAGGCATGAACCACCAGTGCCTGGCTGGTTTTGTCTGTTTTTAATAAAGGGTTAATTTTACACAAATAATTAACAGAAGTGAAAAAGCAGAGTACTCCTTTCCACATCAGAACTTTCCAGAGTGTCTCCTTACCCAACCCTCAATCCGGCCAATCTAACAGCCCCTACGTGCCAGCTTCCCTTCTGTCAGAGACATTTTGGATGCATACTTTTTAATGAACACTGTAATAGTTTTTTCTCTAAATCAGCCAGTACCACCTTACCACCCAGAATCCTTTGCCCCTCACCCATAACCTGACTATGGGTGCAGAGACAGTGTTTTGCTCATATTCCAAACCAGCCAGTGTTCAAAGGTGAGCAAGCAGGAAAGACCCTGGGCTCCAGTCCCCACCAAAAGACCTCAAAGAAGTCCTGGGTTTTCTTCAGGAGGTATTTCAGTTCTGTCAGTTCTAGGAAGGTCTTCTTCAATGCCTGTTGGTTCTGGTTGGCTTCCTGTAACTCGCCTTCCAGTTTTTCTAGAATAGTCTATATGGGAAAGGAAACAGAAGGTAAGCCAGGCAGAAAGAGTTATAACATTCCTATTTGCTATGTATAGACCAGGCTGATACCAAACCTCAACAGGCGGAATAGAAAGTAGCTGGATGGTTGGGCTGGGAAGGTGGCTCAGTGGTAGAGCGCTTGCCTTGCATGCATGAGGCCCTGGGTTCGATTCCTCAGCACCACATAAGCAAAAAGAAAAAAGCCGGAAGTGGCGCTGTGGCTCAAGTGGTAGAGCGCTAGCCTTGAGCTGAAGAGCTGAGGGACAGCGCCCAGGCCCAGAGTTCAGGCCCCACGACCGGACCCAAAAAAAAAAAGGAAGAAAGTAGCTAGATGGGTCCAGTCACAAACTCAGCACATGGGGAGGCCGTAGCTGAGCCTGACCCATCTCCACACGGGGAAGATGGAAGTTGCTCTGGGCACGAGAAAGGAGATTCGTGGGGAACCCAAGGCATCTTTCCCCTAAGTAAAACACAAAAAGGAAGGGAGGAGAGGGGAAGGAAGAGAGAACGGGAGAGGGAGGAGAGGGAGGAGAGGAGAGAGGGAATTGAAGAGAAGAGGGGAAGAAGAAGAGAAAAGGGGAGGGGAAGGGGTGGAGGGGGAGGAGAGGGAAGAGGAAGGGAAAGGAGGGGAGGGAAGGGCATTTGTAACATTTCCACTCTCCTCACTAAAGTTTTTGTCTTGGAAAAAACTTATTTTTCATGTTCACCATATTACTGTGTAATGGGATCCTGTCTTCAGTTAAATCAGTACATGTTGTGTATGGCCTACCGGTTTAGATTGTTTATACGCTAAATATCAGTTATGATAATCCACACAAATAAAGCTCCTTGGGCTCCTCAGAATTCCTGAGACCCAGAAAACTCGGGGGTCAGGAATTAGAGGAACAGGGAGGAAATGCCACACAGGGGCGGGGCGGGGCGGGGCTGGGAATGGGCTCAGCGCAGTGGGAGGGGCTGCGAGACAAAGAGGAGCTTCACTGAGGCTGGAAGATGGGCTGGACTTGGAAGCAGCGGAGGTACCGGGAGAGGCACCCTAAGTGTGAGGCACTGTGTGAACAAACGAGAGCTAGGAGAGGAGAAAGGCCTGTGGTAGACCAGCAGGAGGGAGGAGGATGGGGGGAGGATGGGGGGAGGATGGGAGTAGACTAATGAAATGGTTCAAATGGGAAGTGATGAAGGAGTAGACTAATAAAATACTTAGACTAATGGCAGACTAATAAAATGGTTAAAATGGGAAGTGATATAGAAGTTGTAGTCATAATGCCTCCAAAGTATTTTTCCAAAATAGCAAGATTTTTAACATGACAAGATCCAAGTATTTTCTCGGAGGGTTCATTATCTGTAGTAGAATATCAAGATTTATACTACTGTAGCTTCACAGCATTTGAAGACAGTGAGGCTAGCTTCAAGCAGGTATGGTAGCTCATGCCTGTAATCCCAACACTTAGGAAGCTGAAGGAAACAGGAAGATCTTGTGTTTGGGCCAGCCTGAGCTACCTAATGAGATCCTGCCTCAAGAAAAAATAAAGCTGGGCGTGGGGGGGAGGGGGCAGGGGGAGGAGGATAGAGTCACTCAAAAGGAGAAAGTAATTGCACTTGGAGAAATCGCTCAGCTTGGAGAAGTCTGCTCCTCTACCGACCATCTGAGTGAGCCCTTCCAGACTCCAGGAGACAGGAAGGGAAGGAGAGAGGGCAGGCCCCATCAAGCATGACAGCTAAAAGCTAACGTCTTCTCCCGCTTGACCGGCAGAAGCCAGGTCGAGGAGAGACCTCCGTGTAGAAGACACCTAATTTGCTTTTATGAATAGAAAGCCCTACGTTCAATCAGGGAGGGAGGGGGCAGGAAGGGATGGAAGAGGACACTGATTGAAAAGCAAAGCCAGGTGCTGGCGGCTCACGCAGGTAATCCTAGCTACTCAGGTGGCCAAGAGCTGAGGATCACAGTTCAAAGCCAGCCCAGGCAGGAAAGACTGTGAGACTCTTGTCTCCAATAAACCACCAGAAAACCAGAAGCAGTGCTGTGGCTCAATGTGGTAGAGCTCTAGCCTTGAGCAGAAAAGCTCAGGGACAGCACCCAGGCCCGGAGTTCATGCCCCATGACTAATTCCTTCCTCCCCCCCAAAAAAAGGTTTAAGAGGCAGCTTAGAGGGTGCCTTTGCTGGCTCTGTGAATTGACCGAAAGGCCCCCAACTTTGTACCCGTGTCCTCTGATCAGAGCTAGTCTCTGCTGCCGGCTGCTGCCAGCGCTGTTTCTAAGAGGAGAGAGACAGCAAGGTGAGCGGCGCCTAGTGACCAGGCAAACTGCCTCTGGAGCAGGCAGGCCTCCTTATTATCCTAAAACAAACAGCCAAAACGGCAGAAGACAGGTGGGGCGGGGGACTCATCAGGCCACATGTGGCCCAGTCAGTGGCACTACTCATGTGTCCACAAAAGAAATCCCTGATCCTTGCCAGAAGCCAGTGGCTCACACCTGTCATCCTAGCTACCCAGGAGGCTGAGATCTGAAGATCACGATTCAAAGCCAGCCCAGGCAGGAAAGGCCATGAGGCTCTTATCTCCAATACGCCACTCAAAAACTGGAAGTGGTACTGTGGCTCAAAGTGGTAGAGCACTAGCCCTGAGCAGAAGAGCTCAGGGGCAGGGCCCAGGCCCTGAGTGCAAGCCCCACCACAGAGAGAGAGACAGACAGAAGAAAGAAAGAAAGAAAGAAAGAAAGAAAGAAAGAAAGAAAGAAAGAAAGAAAGAAAGAAAGAAAGAAAGAAAGAAAGAAAGAAAGAAAGGAAGGAAGGAAGGAAGGAAGGAAGGAAGGAAGGAAGGAAGGAAGGAAGGAAGGAAGGAAGGAAGGAAATCCCTGCTCCAAGCCGAGTGAGCATCCCCAGACCTCTGCCCTGGACTGGCACAGTGACCCCACAAGTTGGGCATTTGCCTTTTCCTGGAGTAGAGACAGAACTCCTGAGTGGCTTTGGACGCCTGTCCTTAGCCAGGGGAAGATGGGAAATGGAGAGCTTACCTCCAGGGTGATCATCTCCCGAGGGAGAGGGGTCTCTGGGTACTTCTCGGGCAACTGGATGACGATCTCATTTTTCATCTCATCTTCTAGAAAATCTGAGGGTTGAAATGACACCGGTGAGGGGCGCAGCGGAGCCCGGAGCCTCCTCCCACCTGCGAAGCCGCACAAATGATGGGCGAAGCCATTTCCCCCATTTCTCCACAGCCACCAGAGAAAAGGGAACTTACGCAGGATGCGTTCCAGAGACTCACACCGCCGGACTTCATTCACAAATTTCCTCTGGAAACTGTTTACGTTCACATTTAACTAGGAGAAAGTGGGGGAAAGGTATACATTAGGTAGCAATAGCTGTCAACGTCTTCCTTGTTAGTTGTTATTTGTGTACTTTTATATTTTGCCAGTCCTGGAGCTTGAACTCAGGGCCTGAGCTCTGTCCCTGAGCCGCTCTGTGCTCAAGGCTAACATGGTACTCTGCCACTTGAGCCACAGCACCACTTCTGGCTTTTGCTGTGTCTGAGGAATCAAACTCAGGGCTTCATGCATGCTAGGCAAGCACTCCACCATTAAGCCACATGCCCAGCCCTGGTTCGTTTATTTTTTATCTTTTTGAATTTTTATTTGGTTGTTGTGTGTTTGTTTTGTCAGTTGTGGGGCTTGAACTCTGAGCCTGTCCCTCAACTCTTCAGTTCAAGGTTAGTGCTCTACCACTTGAGCCACAGTCCCACTTCTGGTTTTCTAGTAGTTTATTAGAGACAAAGAGTCTCATGGACTTTCCTGCCCAGGCTGCCTTTGAACCGTGATTCTCAGATCTCAGCCTCCTGAGTAGCTAGGATGACAGGTGTGAGCCATCAGGGCCTGGCTTTTTTTGGTTTTTGAGACAGGCTGGTGTGAAATTCCAGTCTCTTATGTGCTGGGATTACAAGTGTAGGCCATTATGCCTGGCTGCTGCCGCTGCTGTTGTTGTTATTATTATTATTATTTGGTGGTTCTGGGATTTGAACTCAGGGGCTCCCTCTTGACAGGCTGAGCCTCACCTCTGGGACTTTTTTGTATTAGTATTTTTCTTTACGTGTTTGTTTTGGAGGCTGGTACTCTGGCTTGAACCCAGGACCTTGTACTCTGGCTTGGCTTTTTTGCTCCAAGCTAGAGCTCCAGGCTCCACTCCCAGGAGAAAGCATTCTGTTGACTACAGGGAAATCTGGCTCCCTTATCTACACCCGTCCCGCCTTTTCTTATCTGCAAAGAATGCAGGACCTACATCTTTGAACTGAACCAGGCCAAGCTCTCCCAGCTCAGCCACGCAGCAGTACGCAGCCTCCACCTGCAGAAACAGCTGCGACAGACACATGTCCTCACTGCGAAACACCGACGCCATCTTGCCAGTCTCAGCCTGCAGGAGGAAAAAAACAAAAAGAAATGCTTAAGACGATTGACAGGTAAAAACTTTAGGATGATTTCTTTCAGCTAAAAATGAAAATCCAGCAAGAATCACTCCTGACTTAGAGAATAGAAATGCCAGTGGCTCGCGCCTGTCATCCTAGCTACTCAGGAGGCTGAGATCTGAGGATCATGGTTCAAAGCCAGCCCAGCCAGGAAAGTCCATGAGACTCTTATCTCCAATAAACCACTAGAAAATGGAAGTGGCACTGTAGCTCAAGCGGTAGAGTGCTCGCCTTGAGCTGAAGAGTGCAGGGACAGTGCTCAAGCCCAGAGTTCAAACCCCACAACCAACCAAAAAAAAAAAGACTAAGCCAGAGTGGAGGCCCTGAGTTCACACCCTGCAAAGAGGGGTGGGGGGAAGAAGGAAGGAAGGAAGAAAGGAAGAAAGAAAGGAAGAAAGGAAGGGCAAGATAGTGCTTTTCACCTTTTTATCAGTTAAACAAAGATTGAAGAGTCTGGGGCAGAAGCCCTTCAGAGAGTACTTGTCCTGCCTTGTAAGGCTCTGGGTTGCATCCCAGCACACAAATATATACATATAGGTATAGATTTAAATAGAAAAGGTAGATGGTAGGCCTCACGTTGTGGGGGAGAGAGAACAGAACTTTCATACATTTGGAAACTAAAATGTTCTCTTCTTTTTATTTTGATGGTACTGGATTTGAACTCAGGCTTCAAATCTGCTAGACAGACACTGTACCCCTGGAGCCAGGCCCCCAGCCAAAAAAGTGTAAGGCCTGAGGGGTGTTTTGTGGTGTGTGTGTGTGTGTGTGTGTGTGTGTGTGTGTGTGTGTGTGTGGTCTCACTGTGTCATTCAGTCTAGCCTGGAACTTACTATGTAAGCTCAAAATCTTCTTGTCTCTACCCGCTAAGGAGCTGGGATTACAAGCATGTGCTACCCCACCCTGCCGAAGTGTAAATTCTCTGTAGCTTTCTCAGAGAGCAATCTGTCAATATCTATTGAATTTTACATTACTCATGCCCATGACCCAATATTCCTACAGCTAGTCGTCTGAAAAGAAAAACAGATGCACAAAGAGATTTTTAAGATTAGATATAATCAATGTGTGTGTGTGTGTGTGTGTGCACTGATGTTTGAAATCAGGGCCTTATGCCCTTGCTTGGCTTTTTTGTTCAAAGCTAGCACTCTATCACCTGAGCAAAACCTCCATTTCCAACATTTTGCTCCTTAATTGGAGATAAGAATCTCCCAGACACTTTTTTTGGGGGGCGTGGAAGATGGGAAGGGATGAGAAGGGGAAACAAAGGAGGAGGCAACAATGCTTGATAAGAAATGTACTCATTATCTTGCCCATGTAATTATAACTCCTCTATATGGTATTTTCACAATTAAAAAAAAAAAAAAAGACTCTCCCAGACTTTCCTGCTGGGGCTGGCTTCCAACCATAGTCCTCAGCTGTCAGCCTGCTGCATAGCTAGGATTCCAGGCGCGAGACACTGCCTTAATGTCTATCGGAATGGAAGGCAGGGAAAGCTACCTTCCAAAGTTAAAAAGAAAGTGGACCAGCATTAGTTGTTCATGCCTGTAATCCTAGCTACTCGGTGGGCTGTGATATGAGGATCACAGCTCAAAGCCAGCCAGGCCAAAAGAGTCTATGAAACTCTGATCTCCAATTAACCAGTAAAATGCTGGAAGCGGAGGTATGGCTCAAGTGGTAGAGCACCAGCCTTGAGCAGAAAAGCCCAAGCAAGAGTGTAAGGCTCTGAGCTCAAGCCTGAGTATCAGCACACCCACCCCCCAGCCACCCCCAAAAGAAGAATAACAAAAAGGAGGAGGAGGGAGGAGGAGGAGGAGAAGGAGGGGAGGAAGGAGGAGGAGGGGAGGAGGAGGAGGGGAGGAGGGGGAAGTGTGGAGGGCAGTGGGTCAGACTCCTTTTCCACCAAAGCTCCTCACAGGAAGGCCCTCTGCGGCCAGACTCCAGGAGGAACTGTCACTCCTCCCCAGGGATTTCACTTGACCACAGAGAGCACATCCACCATTCGCCAGACCATAATCCTCATTTCTGGCAGCAGACATTCTAAAGCCCCGGGCAGCCAGCAGAGGCCACGGGACCCGGCTTGTTTTCCCGGTTTTCTGGGCCTTCCCGCGGCTGTCCAGACCTCCTGCACTCATTTCTTCACCAGCTAAAGCCTGACCGCCCCCCCCCCCCCCAGCCTCCATCCCCTGCATCTTACACGGTGGGGGGGGGGGGGCGGAAATTGCTCTCTCCTCCCAGAAGCCCTCCAGAACTACAGTGCCATCCCGGATCTGACCTGCCTTCCTTCTGGCCGCAAGAGTCAGTGATTCCCAGAAACTAGTTTTCAAATGAAAAATCAGGAGGCTAGAGCCCTGCTGGGTTTATTAGCACTGGACTAGTTAAATGCAGACCACATCTTAGATGCTCCAAAACAATGCCCTGAGCAAGGCTGCAGTGGGGGGCTCACGCCTGTAGTTTCAGCTACTCAGGACGCTGAGATCTGAGGATACAGGTTCAAAGCCAGCCCCAGGCAGACAAACCTGAGAGACTCTGATCTCCAATGAACCCACCACCAAGCCAGAAGTGGAGCTGTGAATGCTCTAGTGGCCTTGAATGAAAAAGCTAAGGGACAGTGCCCAGGCCGTGAGTTCAAGCCCCCAGCATTGACACAAACTCAGTAACTGAAGTCACACTCACAGCGTACACGCGGCCCTTCCCTCCAGAAGGTGAAGATGAGTCGCAAGGTTGCCTTTGCTTGCTCTTCCCTCTTCCCTGATGAATGAGGTAAAAGGCAGCTCAGGCTTCCTACAGATCAGACCCACACCCGAAGATTCTTTCTTACCCAAGTGTGCTCCTGGGGGGTGTCTGGGTGGGCAGAGCCGGGGGGCCGGCCGGGACGGGCCCGGGACAGCCGGGACGGTGGTGGCCGGCTGCGGGCCTCGGCCTGGCTGCGTCCTCGGCCCCTCCCGCCTGGGCTGCCTCCCCGCCGCCGGCTCTGTTGTATCAACACCGCCTGCGAAGGAAACCTGCCGCACCAGCCCGCCCGGCTCGGCCCTGCCGCACCTGCCCAACCTCGGTTCCCAACCGGGAAGCCCCAGGTGGGCCCTGGGGTGGGGGGGGGGGGACCGGCCCTCGCGTGGGCAGCATGCTGGAAGACTTAGCAAGCAATCCCAAGCACCCTTTCCATGGTAAGAATGGGGTGTGGCTCCAGGGGGCGCCCTCGGGGGACCCCCAACATGAGCTGCCATCCTAGGAATCAGGATTTTCTAGAACTCCAGGCACTCTCAAAGGCAAATTAGATGCCTGGTTGTTTAAAAACAAACAAACAACATTGTTTCCAGGGCATGTGACTCCTTCCTGTCATCCCAGCTACTCAGGAGGCTGAGATCAAGAAGATCTCAGTTTGCAGCCAGTTTGAGCAGAAAAATCTGAGACTCCCTCGGGCCAGACAAAAGCTGGCCTGCAGGCAGGGATGTGGTGAAACACCCCTGGGCAAGAAAGCCACCCCGAATCAACAACAAACAAACACGCACACACAACGTCCAAAATCCAGCTGCGCCTGCAGCCCAGGCCGAGAGACGGAGACGGGCTCAGTGTGTTACTCACGCTTCACCTCTTCAGGATTAATGTCTAGTTACTTTTCTGGGGAGGCACAGTGAAAGCCAAACACGCTTTCTCCTCCAAGCTGGAGCGGGGAGGGGGATAAATAGAGCGGCAGCAGTTGTAAGCTTTGGCATGAAAGAATCTTCCAGAACAGCAGTGTGTGTTGATCTTCTGAGCACCCACTTGGGATATACAGTGTACCCCTAAATGATCAGCTGCTCTTGGTGTTCTTGTTGTTACCAGCATGTGGCTGAGTGTGGTGGGTCACACCTGTAATCCCAGCTCAAGGACTAACCAGGATCAAGGTTCAAATCTCGGGGTGGGGGGGGTGGGGGGGGGAGGAAGGAGTCATGAGACCCTCTCTGAAAAATAACCAAAGTTAAAAGGACCTGGCGTATGGTTCAAATGGTGGAGAGCGCTTGAGAAGCATGAGTTTTAAGCTCAAACCCTTGTACAACCAAATACACATACACACACACACATACACACACACACACTTCTCAAATTCTTAAAATTCAGCAGTAATTACTTAATAATGAATATCCCATCAAGGAAAAACTAAAAAATTCTAAGTTCTAAACCTCCTTTTACTGTGCAAATTAAAAAAATGAAAAGACAAGCTAGAATGTGGAAGAACATGTTTATAACCACTTATAACCAGACTTTGGAGAGTGCTCAAAAAATATCTGGTTAGAAAATGGTCAAAAGGCTGAGCACTGGTGGCTCACACCTGTAATCCTAGCTACTCAGAAAGTTGAGCTCTGAGGACCATGGTTCAAAGCCAGCCAGGCAGAAAAGTCCCCATGAGATTCTTATCTCCAATTAACCACTCAAAAACCAGAAGTGGAGCTGTGGTTCAAGTAGTAGAGAGTTAGCCTTGAGCACAAAGAGGTTCAGGGGCAGCACCCAGGCCCTGAGTTCAAACCCTATCACTGACCAAAGAAAAAAGAAAAGAAACAAACAAACAAACAAAACAAAAGAAAAGTTAAAAACGAGAAAAGCCAGGCGCCAATAGCTCACATCTGTAATCCTAGCTACTTAGGAGGCTGAAATCTGAGGATTGCTATTCAAAGCCAGCCCGGGCTGAAAACTCTGTGAGACTCTTATCTCCAACAAACCACTAGAAAACCGGAAGTGGTGCTGTGGCTCAAGCAGTAGAGTGCTTGCCTTGAGCTGAAAAGCACAGGGACCAGGGCCAGACTTCAAGCCCCACGACCGACGAGAGAGGAAGAAGAAGAGAAAATGGTTAAAAGATGTAAAGAAACATTTTACCTGAGGGAATACACAGATGGTAGATCTATTCCTCAGGGATCTCCTAGAAAAGAACCTATAGAATACATGCATGCACACACACACACACACACACACACAC